TAATAAAATAATAAAATAATAATAATAAAATAATGATAAAATAATAAAATAATAAAAAATAATAAAACAATAATAAAATAATAATAAATAATAAGATAATAACCCTAAAATAATAATAAAATAATAATAAAATAATAATAATAATAGTAATAAACATTTCTTACATGCCGCACTGCAGGGACTCTACGCGACCTCCGACGTAACTGTCTTGAAGAAGAAGATGCGTTTTTTGTGTTTGTTTGTCTCTCCAGAATCTTTTTAGAGGCATTTTATGTTTATTCGGAAATATTATTTGTCTTTGTTTGGCTTCGCTCATCAACAAAAACTCGCATAGCGTCCCGCTTCCTTGTCTTAACACTGATTCGGGCTGAATGCAGCAGCAGCAAATGCAGCAGCAGCAAATGTAGCAGCAGCAAATGTAGCAGCAGCAAATGCAGCAGCAGCAAATGTAGCAGCAGCAAATGCAGCAGCAGCAAATGTAGCAGCAGCAGATGTAGCAGCAGCAAATGTAGCAGCAGCAAACGTAGCAGCAGCAAATGTAGCAGCAGCAAACGTAGCAGCAGCAAATGTAGCAGCAGCAAATGTAGCAGCACGTACAGCAGCAGCAGCAGCATATCAAGCAGCAAACGTAGCAAAACAAGCAGCAGCAGCAGCAAAAACAACAACAACAAATGCAGCAGCAAATGCAGCAGCAACAAACGTAAACAAGAAAAGGAAGAGGAGACAGAAGGACAGAAAGCGAAATAAAAACGAACAAAAAGCGAAAGCCAAACAAACTAAACAAAGAACAAACAGATAAATAAAGAGAGAGAGAAGCAAAAAGATATAAATAAAAGATTGAGAAGTAAAAACAAAGCGTGATAAACAAACAGAGAGAGATAAATAAAAACACAAGAGACAGCAGATAATCAGCAGAGAGGCGAAGCAATATTTTAAATGCATTTAAATAAATTAAACTTACTACCATGGGTATAATAGTGCTTAGAGCGAGGATAAATGAATGAATAAATTTATAATATAATAAAAATGTCGTCACGGCGTCAGACACAGAATATACACATAAACGCTGAGGGTCTTCAGCAGCCATCGGCACCTGCAAACATACATTTAAAATATATACAACTTGCTTCAACTAATCTAATTTATTTAATTAATAATATTTAATTTATTTAATTTATTTAATTTATTTAATTAATTTAATTTGAGTAGTTAGAAAAAGACAGAAAGGCGAACGAAAAAACAGAAAAAGCGATGGAGAGACAAACTGCATTTAATAAATAAATAATAAATACATAAATAAATAAATCAACAAATAAATAAAACAAATAAATAAATAAAATAGATAAATAAATAAATAGAGCGGAGATATATTAATAAGCAAATAAAAATACACAAAAAGCAGAAAAATATATATGCTATAAAAATGAATCAACAGAAACAGCAAATAAAAAATAATAAATAAATAAATACAAATAAGAATAAATATAAGAGCAAGAAGATGAGAGGCAACTAAAACGAATTAAATAATAAATAAAATAGCTAATAAAGAATTGAAGAATATAAAAGATTAAAGAATAAATAAAAAGAATCAAAAAATAAATGAAGTTAAAAAGGAATCAACAATAAACAAAATAATAAAAACCAAATAAAATAAAATAATAAAAAATAAATAAAATAAAAACTAAATAATACAAACTAAACAGAATAAAAACACATGCAATAATATTTAAACAATAAAAACTAAATAAAATAAATAAAATAATAAAAACTAAATAAAGTAAAAATAAAAAAATAAAAACTAAATAAAATAAACGGATAATAAATATTAAATAGAATAAAAACAAGATAATAAAAACTAAATAAAATAAAAACACATATAATAATAATATTTAAATAATACAAGATAAATAAAATAAAAACAAGATAATAAAAACTAAATAAAATAAATAAATAAATAAATATTATGCATACCATATCTTCTGGATCAACTTCGACAGGGTTAAACCCTAACTTCGCCTTGCAGACTGCCTTCAGTGTACGCGACCCCTGAATAAAATAATTAAATAATTAAATTAAATAATTAAATTAAATAATTAAATAATTAAACTATATAATTAAATAATTAAATAACAGAAGTGAATTAAATGAAAGAATTAAATAAAATAATCAAATCAAAGAATTAAATAGAATAATCAAATCTAATAATTAAAATAAAATCAAACAATTAAAACAAAGGCTAATTAATTAAATAATAATAATTAATTAATTAATTAATTAATATTTACTTGAGGAAGATAAGAATCTCTTTCAACCCATATAAAAAAACATATATATGCAGCATTAAACAAAAGCGAGTATATCAAATAAAACGTTTAAACTAATGTAATTAATTAATTAATTAATTAATTAATTAATTAATTAATTAATTAATATTTACCTGAGGAAGATAAGAATCTCTCTCTACCCACTTAAATGCGTCTAAGTGCAAGACGGGGCCGACCCCCACAACTGGATCCCCCTTCTGTGCGGGTAGCAGCCCTATAAGAAGAGAGATGTCTACTCCGAGAGTCTGCGAATAGACAAATAATAATTAATTTAATTAATTTAATTTAATTTAATTTATTTTATTTTATTCTATTAGCTTATGGTAATTCAGTTCACTTCATTGTACTCTACTCAAAAAACTAAGACGATCAATTATTTTTTATTTTACTTCAAATTTAATTTCATACGAAACATAATATACAATGGTAATGCACAAATATATATTACATATTAGTTTATATATTATACAGTATATATTATATATAATATATATTATTCTATATATATATATATATAAAGGATAAAGGATTACATTTGCTCGGGTAAAGATACAGCATATATTACATTTAAAAAAAAACTAGAACAAAATATAAAATTAAATGCATTTATAACAGATATATATAATGATGAATATACATAGTATATATAAAATTAAGCAGAGACATACATTTGCTCTGGTGAAGATGTAGGGTAGATCGAAGTCGTCTCCGTTATATGTTACGATGATATGAGGCTTTAATTTTGCGACATGTTGTGAAAACCGTTTAATAGCATTTATTTCATTAGACTCATTAAAGACAATGATGTCTTCAATGCCTTTTAGATCAGCATTGGGAATAAAAGAAAAGACGGGGATGTCTGCACTAATAAACTCTCTGTTTATTATCAGATAACCCTGCTGATTAAACACATAAGACAGCAAAATTATCGGGTCTTTGCTAGCATCTGGAAATTTCAAAGGTTCTTTATAACACTCAATATCAAATGCTAATACAGATAAAGGAGCAGCACTTGATAAAGTCGGGTGTACAGACAGCTGCAGCGCAACACAAACAAACAAAACAAACAATATTTATATTATAGTACAGTACTATTATTGCTATACAAACAATAATAATATATTATTTGTATATTGTTATTGTTATTGTTATTATTATACAAACAAGAAAATAATATTATTTTTATTATATTATTTTTGTTATACAAACAAACAAGAATAAGATAATGCAAACATAAACATTAACAGTAACACATAGGAAGATATATATACACAAAGATTGAAACAAACATAAACATAAACGTAAAGACGAAGATAAAGACGAAGTAATTTAAAAAGAATTTGCTCTGCTTTCTAAACAAAGACAGACAGAAGGAAAGTAAAATATAAACAAATGCAGCAAATAATATAAATAAGACGAATATATAAAATATCATACAAACATACATCCAAACAAATGAATAAATAAGCACAGAAAGAAATATATATATATATATATACACATTAATATAAAAGGTTTAGGGTTTAGGGTTTAGGGTTTAGGGTTTACCTGTAGGGGTTCTGTTATTTGCGTTGATTGTCTGCCGATTGAATACCAACGACCGCAGCGAATGTTTAAGTCAATACAACACCTGCATGCAACGCACAACAACTAGAAATCTGCTGCTGCTGCTGCTGCTGCTGCTGCTGCTGCTGCTGTTGCTGCTGCTGCTGCTGCTGCTTCTGAGGATGATGATTCTGCTGGTGCTGCTTCTGCTGCTGCTGCTGCTTCTACTTGTGTTGCTGTTGCTGCCATTCCTTCTGCAGCAGCTGCTGCCATTCCGTCTGCCATTCCGTCTGCTGCTGCTGCTGCTGCTGCTGCTGCTGCTGCTGCTGACCTGGAAATGTATGGTACATCAGCTTCATATATTTCCTCCAACAGATCTAGCGAAGGCTGATGCTGCTCTTCGGGTGTATTGCCAGCAGCAGCAGCAGCATCAGCAGCAGCAGCAGCAGAATGAGTAGCAAAAGAGTTGTTTAGAGAAGCAAACCGAGAAGAAGAATTTCTTTGACGAGATGATTCACGCACTGAACACAAATAAACAAACAAATTTAAAAATTATCTTTTATCTTGTATTTATTTGTTTGTTTATTTGTTTATTTGTTTATTTGTTTATTACTTCATCGATAAATGAAGACAACAAAGAAAATAAACAGAGACGAAAGGAAAAGAAAACAAATACATAATAAATAAAACAAAAAAACAAATAAATTGCCGCATGCACCAACAAATCAGCAAACAAATAAATGCAGTAATTCAGCACAAACAAACAAACAAACAAACAAACAAACATACAAACATAGAAGCAAACAGCAGCAGCATTAGCAACATCAGCAGCATCAGCAGCGGCAACAGCAGCACTAGCAGGCGCAGCAATAGGAGGAGCAGCACTAGAAGCAGCAGCATTAGCAGGAGCAGTATAGCATTAAGCAGCAGCACTAGCAGCAGCAAAGAGTGTGTAGGTGATGCTGCTGCAGCGTGTCGATGAGTAAGAGCAGTACATATATAATTAATATCTTGTTTAGCGTCAACCAACTCCTTAACAGTAGCGAAAGAAAGACGAAGAAAATCATGCTTTCGCTTCAAAGCCCCAAACTCATCGCATGCAGTGCCGGGAGGAGATGGGCCGTAGACTGATAAATGCGAAGAATCGCTCAAATCAACTGCAGCAATTTGAGCGATCGATACCTGACAACAAATATAAAGAAATCGTTTCATTACTACTATGTTCACTTCATTCAATAACAAAATTATCTCTCGCGCGCGTTCGATACCCGGCAACAATAAAAATAAAAATTATTTTATATTTAGAAATAAATTATTTTATCATCATCATATTCATTTAACTCAATAACCTGGCAACAATAATAAAAACAAATTATATCATTGCAATAATATTAACTAAATTCAATAATAGAACAACGTAGTATATAATAATAGCAACAGCAATATATTAAATAACATAATAATTAATACAACGATATATAAAACAATAAAACAATCTTCAAAGTTATACTGATGAAAATTATTAGTAAGAGTAGCGAGAACAAACAAAACAAAAAAACAATTAGAAACACTCGCAAAGAGCAAGTGTATATGTATTGTTATTTATTTATTATTTATTTATTTATTTATTTATATTTATTTATTTATTTCGTACGTTATACTTAGAGAGCTTGTCTCCTAGAGCTGCTGCTGCTGCTGCTGCTGCCTCGGCTGTTGTTCTTTTGATAGCAACAGTGAAGTGCGGGCGATGAATTAAAGACGACCGAAAGGTAAACCCTTCTTCGCTGACGAAATATAAATTCAGCCCTGCGCACCGCAAACCCTAAACCGTAAACCCTAAACCCTAAACTCTAGACTCTTATACATGCCAGTTGGCAATAAAGACAACCCACTCAAACCCTAAACCCTAAACCCTAAACCCTAAACCCTTAACACACAAAAATGCATCTGATGTCGTCTCCAAACAACCCTAAAAGCACCAACTATACAAACCCCCGAGGGTTTAGGGTTTAGAGTTTAGGGTTTAGGGTTTGTTGAGGACCTGAGTAGACTTGTTTTTTTTCTTTAGAGGCTGTGACAGTGAAGTTAGTTTGTATAATATTATATAAATAACCAACTCGGTCTCCTCCTCCCTGCCACACCTCAACGCCAAACACTGCCTCCGCAGCACTTCGTCTTCCTCCTGCTGCTGCTGCTGGTGCTGCTGCTGCTCCTGCTGCTGCTGCTCCTGCTGCAGCTGTTGCTTCTGCTGCGGGTGGGCTCCCGCCTCTACGAACTGTCTCTGCATCTGCAGATGATGTTGCAGCTGCATTTGCTGCATAATCACCACTGGGTTTAGCCCGAGAAAAAGAAACACCTGCTGGGGCCCCCGCCCTACTGCTGCTACTGCTGCTGCTGCTACTGCTGCTGCTGCTACTGCTGCTACTGCTACTACTGCTGCTGCTGCGGAGGAGGAGGAGATCACTGTCTCCATCTTCTACGACCAAGCGCGCCCGAGGCCGCTTCAACGGCGCTGCTGCAGCCGTTCTTCCTATTGATGCTGCTGGTCTCCTTGCTGCTGCTGCTGCTGCTGCTGCTCTTCCTGGTGCTGCTGGCGCAGCACCTAGATCTTCTACATCCATTGTTGCATACTTGTGTTCGCTGTCTGACCGCTGCAGGGGCTCTGTTTCGGCAGCAATCCAGCAATCGTCTGCTGCAGCAGCGGCGCCTCCTTCTGCTGCGCCGCCTTCTCCTCCTTCAGCTGTCCTACGCCTTCTGCTCATTTTGCGAGTTACCGCGAGACTGCGGAGCCCTCAGCCGCCATCCTCGGGCCCTGTAGACCTCCTCAGCAGTACCTGCTGCGGTGTATAGGCAGGAAGACAGCGGAGAGGGGGGAGGAGGGGGCGAGGAAGAGGGAGAGGAGGAGCAAAGGAGTTGGGACACAGAGGAGACGAAGAGCAGAGAAGTAATCAGGTAAGCAAGAAAGAAGAAGACTCAAAAGAGAAGCGCTCGACACTACGCCAGGCTAAGATATATAGCATTCCGTTTGTTCGGGAGCGAAGCCCAGGCGTTGAGATGTGGAAGCTGTTAGTTAATTCAGTAAAGATTTCAATGAAGAAGAAGATAATGAAGGCGTTAGAAACAATAAAACAACAATACACTCAAAGGCTGGGAACAACACCGATGCAGAGGTGGAGGAGGGGTGTTGTTTTTTCTCGTGTTGAGATGGTGAGAGAGGTGTTGTCGGTACAGCTGAAATAAATTATGCAAATCTGATTTTTAAGCAAAAATGAACAGCATATTCGTATTTATAACGTTTTTGTCGTTAAAATAATGCCCTAATTGTCTATTTTATTTTTATTTATCTTTTTTTTCTATTGTGCTGCATGTACAATGTCTCGTACCTAGCGGAAGCCTTTGGGGGCCGCGACACCGCCGCCATTCCCCCCTGTCGTATTCGCTTACGGTATGGGGTTGTTTTAAAGGTTAAAAAGATATTATAATTGGTTTTTGCATTTAATTTCTTCTTTTTCTCTTCTAAAGAGCTCCTTTTTGCCCTCTGTTTCTCTGCAAGCTGCGCCGGCCGCCAGTCGACACCCCGCAGCAGCCCTGGCGGCTACGGAAGCGGCCCTGCGAGTTGTGTGGTGTTGTGCTGCTGCTGCAGCTGCAGCAGTTGCTGCTGCTGCTGTTAGATTGAAGTGCTGCTGCTGCTGCCACTGGTGGTGGTGCGGGAATATTGAAGGATACGAAGCTGTAGAGGGGTCATAGACCCTAAGCAAGTATACCCGTTGGTGCGCATGCAGATCTGGGGCGTGTTGTTTGTTAGAGATGTTTATGTTAAGGAAGGAGCAGCTGATGGAGCCTGAGCATAATTATGAGGGTGTTGATTAGCACTGTTGTTTATGAATTAGATTGGAGTGTATATATCTCGTTGTTTGTTGGGTAGCGGAGTGCATGCATATAGAGAAACATATATATGCTGCTTTGCGTGCATGCATTTATTCCTTTTCTTTTTGCTTTGTTTGCTGCAGAAAAGATGATGCCCCGTGAGGGGGAACGAGGAGGAGGAGGAGGCGAAGGCGGCGGTGGGGCTTACAGAGGAGGCCCGGCCTCGAACGGGCGGGGGGGTGGAGGTTCTTCTGCGTGGAGAGGTGGAGATAGAGGTGTTGGTTCAGGTGTATCGGCAGGTGGAGGCGGCCCTCATGATGAAGGAGAGGCATATGGAAGTGAAGACAGTCGGTGGCAGCCTTGGCGAGGAGGTCGGGAGCCCCACGGGGGGTACAGAGGCGCTGGCGAGCGAGATAGAAGAGAAGGAAGGCCTCCTCCTCCTCCTTTATCTAGAGGGGGTTATGAAGGTGGAGGTGGTTATAGAGATGAAGATAGAGGAAGAGACAGAGGTGGTGAGGGGTATAGAGACGACGACAGAGGTGGACGGGATCGTGGGGGGTACCGTCCCCGGGATCGGGATCGGGATCGAGGTGAAGGTGGTGGTTATTATTCTTCTGGGGGTTATTACCGCGACTATCGACGCGAGCGAGGAGGTGATCGAGGGGGTTCAGGTGTACAGACATCAGCAGATCGTCAGCATCGGTCTCCTTCAATTCCTCGGCCTTCTTCTACATCTCGTGGAGGTGAAAGAGGGGGAGAAGGGGGTCAAAGGAAGAAGAGGTTAAATAGAGATATAAGCACTTCTCGAGAGAGATCTCGTAGCAGAGAAAGGCGTAGACGACGACAACAAGCCGAGTGTATACGTAGGGCAGGAGGATTTCAGAAGTTAGCTGACAGCGAAGGGCATGAGCCGATTCGTCTGTTCTGGGACGGCTTTCAGTGGGTAGCTAAAGCAGCAGGAGCCTTAGGGCCGCAGCAGCTTGATGCAGCAGCAATGAACAGCACTCGCAAGCTGCGTCGCTTATATTTCGGCAACTTACCTCTGCATGCAGGGCTAACAGAGCAAATGTTTCAAGAGATGGTTTGGGAGGAGATGAAGATAAGAGGGTTTTGCTCAAACCCTAATGTTAATCCTGTCTTATATGTCTGGTTCGCAAAAGATAAGGGTAATTACGGGTTCGTTGAATTCACATCTGTAGAAGAAACAGAAAGAGCGCTTACTATGGACGGCATGCTCTGCTTAGGGGTCCCTCTAAAGGTCTCCAGGCCTAATGATTATACAACAACTTCTTCAGCTCAAACGCATGCAATGACTGTCATGGGGCAGCAAGCTGCTGCTATTCTACTCGGAGGAGCTGCTGCTGCTGCAACCCCACAACCCCCGCAACCCCCACCAGGACCGCCTCCAGGTAATTTCTTTCGTCATTCATAATAATTACAATTATATTCATAATTATAATTATAGTATTATTATTATGCATAAACACACAAACATAGGGACAGAGAGAGAGAGGTGTATATATATAGACTATATATGTATAGACAGGGCAAACCGAAGCAAATACACGCATGCATGCATATGCATACATTTACATGCATTTAGTGAGAACGAGAGAAAATGAATATAAAATAGAACGACAGACAGAATGATAGTTAATGAGAGATAATGAGAGCTAATGAGAGATAATGAGATAGAGATAGAGATACAGAGAGATATAGAGATAGACAGAGACAGCGTGATAAGAGCAGAGAAGAAAGAATGAGAGAGAGCGCCAAATAGACAAAATGAATTAAAGAGGAAGAGATTGAAGGCGAGGATAAACAATGAAAAAAGAAGAAGAGAGAGATAGACAGAGATATAGGTAGATTGAAGACGGGTAGAAAAGACAAAAAGATCAAGAGAGGTCTCCTTTAAATATGAGTCGCTGTCTGCAGTCTCTGCATGCATTCAATTTAATATTTATTACGCCTTATTACCTTCACTGTCCTTCAACTCGTTTTCTTTTTCTTTTATTCGTCTTTATTCTTCTATCCTCAGCCTCACACACCTATAACAATCTCCTCCTAATATTTATGTACAGCAGTTATGTCTGTCTGTGTATAGTATGCAGATATAGAGACGTAGCTGCATATATATGTATATACATATATAGTATATATATAGTATATATAGAATATATATGCTGTAGACAGCACATTATAAATACAGAATGCGTCCATGCATACATACACATATAACATACATACCCATACATATATTTAAGCTAAATAAGAATAAGCAATAATAAATAATAGATATATGCATGATATATACCTATATATACAGCTGTACAAATATACAACTATATACATACATATATATCTATACATGTATAAACATATGTATATATATATATATATATGTATATGTATGTATATATATGTTTATATATTTGTGTGCATTGTTGATTAGGGACGTCTCGTTACATGCGAATAATTCAAGTGGTGGAGACGGCGAAGATTCAGAGCTCAGAAGACTACGAAGATATATACGAAGATGTTAAGGAGGGCTGTAGCAAATTCGGCGAGGTGGTTGGGGGCGTTATAATAACACCTGATAATAGAGGAAGCTCTCCTTATCTTCTTTGCGATGTTTTGTTTGAATTTGCTACAGCAGAAGCTTGCGACAATTGTATATCTAATATGAGTACAAGAAGATACGAAGGCAAACAGATTACCGCTATCCGTCTCGATGCAGAAGAAGTAGAAACCTTTGTTATTCCCCTTATTAACAAACATAAATAATTATTATTGTTGTTATTATTATTTTGTCTATCTCTTATTTTATCTTCTTCCTCCTGCTGCTGCTAGTGCTGTCTATCTGCGTGTTTGCTTATATTGTTTGTGTTGGTGCCTGTCTCTTGTCTTTGTTTCTTTGTTTATTTATTTATTTATTTGCTTCTCTATTTATTTATTTATTTATTTATTCTTTTTTCTTCGCCTCGTTCTGCCTTCGTCTGTTCTCTGCGTCGAGTTCACCGCATGCATGCTTGGCGTGCCCAGGCAATAAGAGAAACAAACAGAATTAAAGAAATAATAATATTAATAATAATAATAATTATTATTATTAATATTTATAATCATTATTATTAAAGAAAGAATGAATTATGAAATTGTTTTGTGCTGTTGTGTGGAGCATCAGACTGTCTATGTTGTTTACTCTCTGTTGTGTTCTCTTTTATTATTTAAAAGCCTAATACGCTTATATAATGATTATATAAAGCATTATAAGGCTTTATAAGGCCTTTTAAGGCTGTATAAGCCTTTCAAGGCTTTTAAGGCGTTTGAGGCTTTATATAAGGCTTTCTGCGTCTTTACAACACATAAGGCTTTTAAGGCATTTAAGGCGTTTAAGGCCTTTTAAGCCTTTTAACACTTCTTAAGGCATTTCAGGCTTTCAAGACTTTTAAGGCTTTTAAGGCTTTTATGGCTTTATGCACCTCTTAAGGCTCTATGGGGCTCTTAAGTGTTTATGAGGCATTTCATGCTCTTTCTAAGGATATATTTAGGGGTTATTAAGCCTTTTAAGTGTTTATAAGGCATTAAATGCTCTTTCTAAGGATATATTTAGGGGTTATTAAGCCTTCTGAGGGCTCATGAGGCAGTTAATGCTTTACTTAAGGCTGTCGTTAAGGCTTGTAAGGGTTTTAAAGGGTTTATGAGGCAGTTAATGCTTTACTTAAGGCTGTCGTTAAGGCTTATAAGGGTTTTAAAGGGTTTATGAGGCAGTTAATGCTTTGCTTAAGGCTGTCGTTAAGGCTTATAAGGGTTTTAAAGGGTTAATACAGCACTTCAGGCTTTACTTAAGGCTGTAGTTAAGGCTTTAAAGTTTCTTTTATAAGGCATTTACGCGTTTAAGACATTTAAGGCTTTCGTAGACTTTGAAGAGTTTTTAAGACCTTCGAGCTCTATATGCCTTTTAAGGCCCCAGGAGGCCTTACTTAAAGTTTATTTAAGGCTTTGTTTAACTCTTTGTTTAACTCTTTGTTTAAAACTTTGTTTAAAACTTTGTTTAAGGCTCTATATAGGGCTTTATTTAAGGCTTTACCTAAGATACCCACTAGGCCTTGCATGCGTTATTCAGGGCTTCATCTAATGCCTTATTAAACGCCTTATTAAAATCTTTATTAGTGCATTATTAAAGGGCTTTATTAATGTTTATTAAAGACTTTATTAAAAGCTTTATTAATCTATTATTAAAAGCTTTATTAAAGGCTTTATTAAAGGCTTTATTAATGCTTTATTAAAGGCTTTATTAAAGGTTTCATTTAATGCACTAAGGGGAACAAAGTTTGTTGAAAATATTATTTTTGAGGCCTCGCTGATTTCTGCGTCTTCGCCTCGCAACGCCCAGCGGCGTCTGCATCTGCATGCAGTGCAGTAACAGAAGAATAAAAAGAATAAAAAAATATAAAAGTTTAAAAGTATAAAATGGACAAATATAATAATAAATATGAAGATACAAAGAGATAAAGGGAGAGAGCAATATAAAACATAAATATATTTATATTTATGTTTTACGTATATGCGATATATATGCATATATATACATGTTGAATATATATTATATATATGCTCCTCTAAGAATAATATATATATATATATATATATATATATATATATATATTCTTAGAGGGGTGTCCTTGGAGTTTGCCTTCGCGGAGAGTTCGCTGAATTCGATCGATGATCTAAATAAATTTTTTTGTTTTGTTTGCAAATATTTTGCGCTTACTCTGTTATTTTTATGCTTTTTAATGAAGAAAGCAAAAGACAGGAGACTCCAATATTACTATGGTTATTATTATTATTATTATTATTATTATTATTATTATTATTATTATTATTCGTGTCTATTAGAAAGAAAACAAAAGACAGGAGACTGCAGTATTATTAATATTATTATTAATTATTGTTTATTAATTATTATTACTTTTTGTGAAGAAAACAAAACACAGAAAACTTCGCTCGATGTTCTTCGGGTGTCGTCGGTCTTATCGAGAGAAAATCAAAGACAAAAAATTCGAACAAAAGGCCGTCTAATGAATTAATTCAATTAATTTAATTTAATTAATTTAATTTAATTTGATCTAATTTAATTTTATTTGGTTTAATTTAATTCAATTCGGTGTTTTATTTTCTCAGGAGGCTCCGATCGTTGGCTTGAAGAGAATAATGATGTGGAGGGGAGCAGACAGCGCGAAGAAAAATAAATAAACAAGAGGATAGTAGAAATAAAAAAGAGAAAAAGAATATAAAAATAAATAATTAAATAAATAAATAAATAAATAAAAAGCAAACAAACAATCGATACAACAGACCTTTGTTGTTTTTCTTCGTTTTTACTACCTTATGCGCTTCTAGGGCTGTCTGTGTGTCTTTTCTTGATTTGTTTCGAGGAGTTATTAGGAGTAAGTAAAGGAATAAAAGAATGAAAATGTAAATTATATTATATTATTTAATTTATTTTATTAAAAACTCTCGTATTATTCCTCTCTTTGCTGTCGATATGAAGACCGAAGAAGATGACGGGGGAGATAAAGATCAACTATATATATCCTTTTAATATTTTTAGGGTTTGTTTAATTTGTTTTTATTTCTTTGCAAGTTTTTCAGAGTATTTACAGGGCCCTTATATCTTTCCTTTGCTGTCTGTACACCACAACTTAAACGCAGAAGTCATAGGCTGGTTGTTGTTTATTTCTTCTACTTCTAAAGCAGTCTTAAGCTTTATATTAGGAGGGCTCTGTGATGCATGCAGCAATCCTTGTGTAGGTTGTTTGATATATTTTTGTTTTTCTTTTCTTTCTTCTTTTCTCTCTCGCTCCTTTTCTTCTTCTTCAGCTCTCATTCTTGCAAGAATATTAGGGGGGGCAGCAACGGGCTTATTAGAAACTGCCTTTGAATCTCTTACTGTTTTTAGTATTACAAAATTATACAGACAACCCCAGCAAATCATCAAACAAACACTCTCATGGCTTACTGCAGCAGCTGCTGCTGCTGCAGTTGCTGCAGGTCTTGCTGCTGCTGCTGCTGCTCAGCTGTGGGGCCCCACAGCTCCTTTTTTTATTTCTGAAGTCGTTTCCTGCTGCTGTCTTCTCATCATCATCATCATCATCTGCAAAACACAAGGTGTATATACACCTCAAGCAGCAAGGCACAACCAGCTAGCTTTGCCTTCAGGTATGATGTTCATTATTATTATTTTTATTATTTTTTTATTGCTGTTGTTATTACTATTATTATTTTTATTATTTATTCACATTGTTTTTGTTATCAGCATCACTAGGACAGCACTCGTTGTTATTTGTTTGTTTTGTTTTGTTTTATTTTGTTTTGTTTATTCGTTTTGTTTCTTCTTTCTGCATTATCTCCATTCAATAAATATTTTTCTTTTTTCTGCTGTTTCCGCCGATTTATTTAAACTCGAAGGCCCCTAACTTCGTCTTTTATTTTGTTTTTGTTTTGTCTGTTCTCTTGACTCGCTTTTTGTGTTTTGTTTTATTTATTATTTGGCCTTCGCTTCTTCGTCTTTTCATTCCCCTCCTAATTTATATTTGCTTCGCTCTGGTGTATGTACAGCTGGTTGTTTAATATTTCTATTCTTTTTTGTGTGTTCTTAGTGCCTCTTTCTTCAGTTTTGTTTTCTTAGAGGTCTCTGTCTGTGTCTCTGTCTCTTTCTTTTGTATGTTTTCCTGTCTGTCTCTACTCTACTGCGTTGCTTGTGTTTGTGTTTGTTTTGTTTGTTTCATTTGTTTTATTTATTTTATATGTTGAAGTTGTTTTGTTTGTTTGTTTGTTTTAGGTTTTATTTCTCCTTCTCGCTGCATTTTATTATTTATTTCTTCTTCTTTATCTTCATTATCTTCAATATTTTCTGTTGTTTGTTTTTGCTGCATTTTATTAATGCGTAGTCTTCCTTCTCTTCTTTCTTTCTTTTTACAGTTTTCTTTCGAAGCTTCTTTAGAGGCATTTGTTTTGTATTGGCCGCTTCTTCTTCTTAATAAACAGCTTCAAACTAATAATAATAATAATAATAATAATAATAATAGTTTTGATTATTATAATAATAATAATGTGCAGTATGTGCGGGAGAGCGCAAACAAAGCAGATGAATGGTGGAGAGAGAGAGGGAGAAGAGAAGAAGTAAATAAAGATTTAAATGCAGCATTTAATCAAACAAACAAATTAATAAATAATAATAATAATAATTCTTTTTACTTCTCTTCTCTTAATCATATTCCTATCGGTCTTCTCTTCTCTTGTTTGATGGCTGCTGTAGCCCTCGGCTCTCTTCTATTTAATTTTGTAAGTGAAAGAAAATAATAATTTCTTTTTAATTGTTTAATTAATTAAACAAATTCATTAATTAAACAATTGCTATTAAGCTTGATTTTGTTTTTGTTTTGTCTTCGCTGTCTTCCCTTCCTACGTTTGTTTTTTTGTTTTTTATGTTTTGTTTTTTATTTTTTTATATATTTTCTTTTGAAGCATTTTTCTTCTTTCGTTCGATCTCCTCATCTTTCCGTTCGCATAGAGGGTTTAGGTTTTAGGGTTTAGGGTTTAGGATTTAGGGTTTAGGGTTTAGGGTTTAGGGTTTGAGGTAATTCTCCTTTTTGGTTCTATTGTATGATTTGCTTCTGCTGCTGCTGCTGCTATTTCTCATGTACTTTATGCTGGCTGTTGCTGCTTGCTGCTGCTGCTGGAGCTTGCTGCTGCTGCTGCTGCTGCTTGCTGCTGCTGATGCTGCATTTCTGCTGTTGTTCTGTTGTCTCTTCTGCTGGTGTAAGTTCTTTTACTCTTGCTGTTTGTTGTTGCTCGTGCTGCTGCTGTTGTTGGTGTGGTGCTGCTGCTGCTGCTGCTGCCGCTGTGGTTCCGTTTTTCATTGCTTTTGTTGGTGCTATTGCTGCTGCATTGCTGCTGCTGTTTACCTGCTGCTTGCTGTTGCTGCTTGCCTCTGCATTCCGGCTGTTGCTTATTTGTTGCTGCTGCTGCTGCTTGCTGCTGCCGCTACCGCTGCTGCTGCTGCTGGGGAGCGTCAGCAGCAGAACGTGAATTTGCATGCAAACGGTTGAAGTAATTTTATGGTGTCTGTTGAGAGAAGAGAGCGGCAAAAGAAAATATATATATATATATACATATACAAAAATTAAAATACTATATTTTGTTGTTTCCTTTTTGTTTTCTTTTTGTTTTTTCTGCAGGCCTCCGCACGTCTGCGTGTGCCGCTTCGTTTTATAATTTCTTTTGCTTTTTTCACCGCCTCTTTGTCTTTGTTTTTTTGCGTCTTTGCTGCTTCTCCCTCCCAGCTGCTTTACTTTTACTCTCTCTTCGAAGTAATAAACACCAACAGCCTAAAGATAAATTTTAATACATTCTTCAGCCTTTTCAATTCACAACACATACACACCAATTAGACATATAAACAGACACCCAGATATATATATATATATGTATATACATATATACACTACTTGAATACAAATACGCATATGCACATACATATCCATATGCATATATATATATATATATATATATATATATATATGCATATTTATTTATATTTATATTACAGCATTCATACATTACATATACATGTATATATGTTGTATGTTAAATGTTCATATATATAATTATTAATACAATTATTAATAATACAAGGCATTAACTTAATATACTTAGTAATTTGAGTAATTTGAATATGCTGCGGTTGGCTGTGGATATAGAGGGCGAGTATTTGTCTCACAATTTTTTGTTTATTTCTTCCGAATATCTCGATAATATTAATTGAATTAATTAAATATAATATGATAATAAGAGTTTATATATTGATATTTATTTGTATTTATTGTATGTGTTTATTTGCTCAGATAGCTGCAGGCTTTCTTTTACCTGCTTTGGCTGTCGTTCGTTCTGCTGTAGTTCCACCGGCTGTTCGATTAACAATGACGAATTTTCCTCGTTTATTTTTTTGTTTTATATTTTTAATTTTCTGTGGATTTGGAAAACCCATAGAAAATTCTGTCTTATGCTTTCAAGGCGCTGCAGTTCTGCTGGTGAGTTACGTCTCTAACCCTGTCTCTCTACTAGTAATATATTTACTTTATAAATATCATTTATTTCCTCTCTGCTAGTTTATTTACATTCATTTGCTCTCCCTTTTACTTATTTATTCGATTATTCACCATTAAAAATATTTTTTACAGAATTTCTGTTTCATTCACCACGAAATGCAGTGACAGCGCCTTGCAATTGTAGGCCTTGCAATCTGCATATATCTCTGCACTTAAATAAAACAAATTAAATAAAATTCAATTTCACTTATATTTATTCTGTTATTATTATTATTAGATTATTCTATTATTATTATCATCATTACTATTATTATTACTATTACTATTATTATTATATTTTCACTGTTACCATTATTATTATTGTTATTATTGCTATTATTATTATTATTATTATTATTATTAATTATTATTATTATTATTATTATTATTTAATTAACTCGCGTTGTTTAGCATTTGAAGTTTTAGTTGGGTCGGTGCAAATTCTGTGGCGCCGTCACTTCCGCATTTTTGTACGATGTCTTCTTTTAAATGAATGACGCACATGTACATCCAATATATATATATATATATATATATATTATATAATGCATAGTGAGACCTCAAGCTTATATATATATATATATATATATATATATATTATTGGTGCATTTGCTGACTTGTTGATTGAATTGTTTGTTTCAGGCGATTGGAGGTTTAGTTTCTGCTTTCTCTGGCGAACATCTCGCAGTGGGAGACGTGGAGGGGAAGTAAGACGTAACGAAAGAAAAACAAAAATAAGAGAATAATAACGCATTAAAACGGGGAATAAACAAGCTAAAACAAATAAATAACAACAGCAGGCGCACAAACAATAGCAGAAAGCAAACAAGAAAAACAGCAATTTAACAGCGAGAACAGAAGAGAAATGTCGATGGAACATCGATAATTACTCTTTTTTTAATTGTATCCTCCATTAACAATTTATGTATTTATTCATTTAAACATTGTCAGCCTAAAACGCATGCATGCAAACTCTCGGCAAAGCGACGAGCGAACAAAACGAATAAATAAATAAATTAAATAAATAAATAAGAAGGAAGCAACCAGCGGCGAAACCAAACAAAGGAAAGCCAACGAAAGAGACAAACAAAAGCAACAGATAACAAGTTGTTATTGTTATTATCACAACAACAATAACAAACAAAGACAGACATAGATAGACAAAGATGGAGAAAAGAGACACAGAACTGTGTTGAGATGACGAAATTCAATTAATAAACGAAGCGAACAAAGAGCAGAATATCTGTCAGTTGAGGCTCTATATATATATATATATATATATATCCATATATATATGTGTATATGATAAATACGTGTATATATATATATATATGAATGCTACAGGTTTATTTGTTTAACTTCTCCCAGCAGCTAAACCTCAGCAATTAATGCAAACACTCCGAAGAGGCGAGAGGCTTTAAACTTTATATTACCAGCACTAGGGAAGCAGCAGCAATTCACAACAAAAGACAGTTTGTAAACATGTTAAGCTGGACGATAGCGTCTAAGCGATAAACAAAAAACTGCGTCAAAGTTGAGGAGACCTTTTCTCATGAAGATCTGCTTAATATTGAGGTGTATTTCCAGTTAAAGACGTAAAATACCCATAGAATGTTTCAAGTGTTTAATTTTACAAAATTGCAAGCGACGAAAAATATAAGGCGGAAAGGCGAACCGCACGGCTATAAATGACGAGGCGCTTGAGGTGAGGCAAAAGAAAGAAGAAAGAAGAAAAGAAAAGAAAAATAAGTAAATGAAGAGATCTATAAAATGAAGCTTCAGCAAGAGTAAAGATCAGAAACACGAGTATGCAGCTTCCCATCGGGTTTCAGCTTATGATGAAACTGTTCAGGAATTGCAATTTCTTGCCAATCGCCTTCTTCTCCTTCAAGCGGCACATTTAAGTTCATTTCTGAAGATTTGCTGCTTGTAATCTCAACTTCTCTGCTTTCATTTGATAGAAATAAATCGACTTTCTGACTCTTGTCTATGGATATCGAAGGCACAGAACCCAACACCTGCAACTTTATCTTCTTGCAATTCACTATCTCCACTGACGCAATCAAACTATTTACACACACCCGCGTGTCGCTACACGAATCCAATATCAACGAATTCATCTTCGGCTCCACCTGAAGGGCCAAACCGCGACAGTCCCGAACCTGAAATCCAAAAAACAACAAACATATGCAAGCAATATATATATATATATATATATATATATATATATATAATATACATATAATATATATATGCACAACAGCAACAGCACATACACATACGCACACACATACACATACATTCATAGGTGGAGTCTGTCATTGGTAATGTATGTAAGCCTGCATGTATGCAGAGATAATAAGCATGTCGCGAATGACTAGGAAGAAGGAGGAAAACAAACTACCCCCTAGAGATGCATAATTAGAACAAGCAAGTGTATGCATGAAAGATACACACACTAAACAAACGCACAAATATGCACTGAAATGCAATCAAAGCCACAGAGGAGTGCTGTAAGTCTGCGGTCTCGGTAACCTTGAAAACCGTGGAGTGAATGTTTTGAACCTTCTGTAGACGAAGTGTGGTTGTTGCTGCTCTGCGTAAGGTTGCAGTGAAGTGGCTCCGGCCCCCTATTTGATCACCTGCACTTTTTGCTTCATTTGGCCCTCAGAAAGTTTCTGAACTTCCGGCGGATTCTCGAACTTCTCTACCAACCAGGTGTCCCGCTCAAGCACTATGCGGGCCCCATTCCCTCCCCCTGCTGCACAGGGGCCACATATAAGCAAAAAAAGAAAGCATTAGAATAAAAAGGGACCAGAAATAAGTGCAAAAAAGCCCCGTAAGAGAGAGGAGGAGGAAGGATTTCCCCAGACAGTGCAGCGCAGTGTGCACTCCATTGCATCGCTCAGACAATATGCCGGTGCTGAAGACGGAGCGAAGGCGTAGAAGGAAAAACTATAAAACAGAGTCGACAAAATAATACTAAGCAAGGTGTTCATGCATACCTGCAGCGCTACCACTCATTTCCTCGAATTCCCAAGAAAAAACGCCCAGAGAGTATAGGGCCAGGTGACGGCTTGGATAAGAGAAACCAAATGAAGGGAATCCTCGCGAAATTGTCGCTTATGTTCGAATTGCTTCGCTTTGAAACCATTCAGTCAACGCTCCCCTCCCGCTGCCAGTGGACAAACCACCCGGAATACGGGGCCCAGACGACCGGGAGAGTAGCGACTGGCAGGGGCAGAAGAGACTATTCCACACTCCTCAACAATCTGGAAAACCAGTTTCTCAAAAATGCACAAATACGTCCCGCAAGCAAATTCGAGCTGGAGGGCAATGCAGGCAATTCTCCGTGAGCAGTTGATGATTAGGCGAGGCACAAATAATGCCAATTGCATCATCGAGTCACTTGCTACACCTTCACGTTTTCAAGGACTCGGGAAATGAAACATTATTTTTCAACAGCTAGAAGTCCCATATCTTGTTTCGAGTCCCATTGGAATACTTGAAAACGTGAACAGAAGAGGATAATCCATTCGCTGCAGCTTTCCGCGCACGCCGAAGTTGCTGCTTTCCGTGGGCAGATACACTAATTCATATGCATCACGGACGAGAAAACTTTAGGAGGGCATTAAAGGATTAGGCTTCACGTGGAGACCTTCAGATTGGGCCAGTAGCCAATATATTCCTTCCGCACACGCATATGAGCCCTAAACAGCAGCGCCTTGACATTCACGCACAGACGGTTAAACGTAGCAACAATCGCTTAGCGAACTTTGTTTTTGCTTTTTTTCGTGATGCTTAGAGTCCACGATTAGTTTTATAACTTCACACAGATTGTGGGAGAGAGTGTGGAAGAAAGCAAAACTGCGTGGGATGGAACCGCAGCTCTAAATTGGATGGGCGTCCTTTAGTCATTTAATGTTCTCACTTTTTAATATCAATAGCAATGTGCATTTTGTGCCGCTTCGGATTTTTGGACGCCCAACTATTTAGCGTCGTTCGGCCAAGGCTTCCTTCTTTTCAAACACACCAGCTTGTGACCTAGTTGAACGCCCCAGGAAATATTCTTCAGAAGCGGCAATGTTCCAAAAAGTCCATAAGCCAGGAGAGAGTAGAGTGAATTGTTGGAAGATTTCGGAACGAGCTGGCTCTGCATTTCGTTGGAAGCTCCATGCACGTTGCAAAACTTCTTTCGGCTTTTCAGTGGAGGCATTACTTTCCTTTGCTGGAGATGGGATCTACCTCTCACGCATCTTTTTGTGTGCACAGCTGCAAGTAGTACAGAACTATGCTTTTTGTAATGTGGCATGTTCCAAGGTGCGAGACGAACTTCTTTGAAGGCAGCACTACGCTGGAGGGGCTTTTGAATTAGCTGTAGGACACATATAGACAATGCTGAGCTTTCTCAAAGAAAAAAAGTTCTTCAGGGGAAAGACGTTTCTCGGGATGGATTGGTCTGGAGTTAGCGCCTCTGTGACTGGTAATGCTTCCAAGGAGAGTGTGGTAGCGCCACGAAGGAATGGCAAGGGCACCCCAGTAGAACGGTTGGGTAGATGCAGTGAACATCTTTGCCACTGCCTCTGCATTGAGTAAAGGGAGCACACTTAGTGCCTCACCAGTCCGAACAGCTCCGAAGTCGTCTCATTACGGTCTCTTGAAGCCGCTTTCCGGGCTCCCGCCAAGGCGCCACCCACCATGCAGGACTCCTGTGTTAGTTGTAGTTCTTGAGGTCTTCTACGCTTACGGCGTAGTCGATACTTGGGAACCGAACAAGAGGGGCACCAGGCGTCGATTCGTCAATGTCAGCATGGAACCCTGCGGCCGCCAAGACAGGGGTCAGAGCAACAAGGGGAAGAAGAGCTTCAATGGCGCTGTCTTTGCTGACTTTAGAGATCCAAGATGTTTCAGCAGACTCGCTGACGGACTGCAAAAGCTCAGAATTCTTCGCGGCGTCCTCCTCGGTAAGCTGCTGCTTCTCCATGCTCGTTGCTGGAGCTTTCGTTTCCTTAGAAGCTTCTACGCTTGGGGCTGCTGCAGGAGCTCCACTGTCAGGGGCACCTGCAATGATCTTCTCAGTGGCCGCTTCGGCCTTCACTGCTCGAGCATCAGTCTGGCTCGCCATTACTTCTTGTCCAGGAGCTCCTGAGTCGGCTTGCTGCGTTTGTTCAGCAAGTTCCCTCACGACCTCGGCCTTTGGAGTCAGGTCTGCAGAGCCGCTTGTAGCGCTAGCGCTCAGTTCATCTCCGCCGGAAGGAGCGTCAGATCCAACTGCAGCTTCAACAGTTGCTGCAATGTTTGCCGGAACAGCGGCTTCCGGCGTGTTCGTTCCAAAGAACATGCCCGACAGCATTGACGCCGAAAGGATCTTGCTCTGGCCAGGCGTCACATGGCTTGTTACGACGGTGGAAAGGACAAAGGCGATAGGGACAAAAGTGAGCTTCATTTTCAGTCGTTGGAGCATGAAAGGGAATGCCGGAAGTTCTATGAGGGTTTTAATGAAAATGCGCAGACGCTCGCCCATGGCATGTAACTGCCTGCGGTGTCGTGACACCACAAAATGGAAGCTCTGCATCGTCCGTACTGTTCATCAGTCTTTGAAAGTGTGCTCGCGGCAGGCGAGTACAGCTGCTATTGGTATAAACGGGCCGAACAATTTCGGAATAGGGACTGGTTTTATGCAACTCCCATAGCTAAACAAGAATAGTTCTGTAGTTCAGAGTAGCGGAGGAGCAAAGGTCTTGCGATCATCCTAACGTCAAGACGATCGCACCAATACCTTTGTCCCGGCAATCAGCTTGCCAAAAGGCGAGCATCGCTTTCGTGGCTCACCTCCCAGTTTCCTGTACACCATTACCTGCTCTAAATAGCGGAGCGAATCCCGCAGTGGCTGCATTCCTTGGTGGAGCAAATGCGAAAATAAACAAGTGTGGAAATACCACAACTTATTACTAGCTATTGCGGCACAAGGAGTCTGCAACAAAGAGCATGGAGCACATCCCTCAACATTCCTGATACTAGCTTCGGAGGGTATGCGCACAGCCCGCAAAACAAGGAAGGCGAGACCCACGGAAGACGCCTTTATATCGGTGTTGTGAGCAAAGGCGTTCGGCGATTTCAAAGAACCGCACATTCAAGAAGGAATACTGTGAAGAGTCGCTTGCTTCCCTTCCCTGAGGCGAAACCTTGAGAGGTCGAAGGCAGGACTGCCAACGAGGGCTACAAAAGTTCCGCGCGCTGGGATGCAAGCATGGGCCTGCGATGCATTTCACTGTATCTGTAGGCACTCAATTTCAAACTGTAGGTCAGCGTTGGCCGGGATACCCCATGCTGGGAACCCAGTCGCGCCGTACCCCACTGCACACAAGACAAGCAATCAATTGCAGATTGTTTCATGAGTACTGCACTTGGTAGTGTTTCTCAAACGTCCATTCAGTAGAAGTCCACTGAGCTCACTCTTTGCTGGAATGTAGATCATGCGTGTTTCCCCCAAATTCATGCCAAGTACGCCTTGATCCCACCCGGCTATCACTTGGCCAAGCCCTGCTTGCCATGTGAAGGGCTGCAAACAAAGACGTCACGAGAAGTCAGTGATCGGCACGCAATGAAGGCTAGATGTTCCAAGGAAGACCGCACGAACGTGTCAACCTATTTCCATGCCACTGTGACTGGCATAGGCGTGAAATGCACCGTTCAACTCCTCCTATAAGCAAATCCTGCATGGGGGATATTTGAGGGCCTTATAAGGACCTAATATACCTGCTGGCCTGGGTCCTTCGTTGACCAGAACTTCTTCGTGGTGCCGTCAGCACCCAGTACTGAACCTGTCGCATGGACAGTAACACGCTGCCCTTTCGCAACTGTTGGTCCGGACCCAGGCTTGACAACTGACGTCTTGAGCTCTGTAAGTGGAGACATGATAAGCACTGAAGATTGCGAAGGACTCGTCTGAGTGTTGGCTGAGCTTGGAAAGACAAGCTGCGCGGAGCGCGCAAAAAGTTCCTGAATACCAATCGGAAATGGCGAGCCAGACTGCGGCCTCAGTACGTACGTCAGCAAGAAAAAACCTACGACAAGAGAAACAATAAATATGCACGAAATGAGGTAAAACTTAGCTCGGTTTCCACTTGTCGAGCGCCTGGGCCTCCCAGATTGCACTGGGGATTCCGTAGCGGGGGGTGTGGCGCTGCGGCGTGCATCGGCTCTGTGGCGGGGATTCTTGTCCTGCCATTTTCCCTCCATTGTGTGTTAATTGCCTTACTAATAGGAAGCTAGGTTTCTGGAAACAAAATGTTCTTTCTTCATGAGGTATGTCCTTGACGGCCGGCACTGGTGAACAGCCCCTGGCACAGAAAAGCAGCCCACCACCATGCAGCCCGGTAAGAAGGGACGCGTTATTGTTTTCAAGATTCCTATTGGGGTTGTGATGCATGATATTGCATATCTTGCATCCATTATATGCCATGCGCCCTTTGAGACTAGCACACGACAGTACTAACAGTCTGGCTTCTGTATGGAAATTAATTCCCCCGTATAGACTGGGTAGGACGAGGTTACAGGTTTGCCACACTCTGTCTGCGTGCAAGAATTTCCAGTTGATTGCAGTAGGGGTATCTACAACCTAGATACCTGTGACGCCAAGGAAGGAGGTCTCCAATCCCGAAACTAGGATCCTCGAACTCAACTGAGGAAAACCGCGAGCTGCAGTAGTGACGAGGGCGTAAGAGCCCCCAAAAAGCAACAGTATTTCCCCACCAGTTCCCATTCGACCTGGCCAAAGGGTTGCTGCTGGGACGAGACGGCCTGTTATGAGTTGCAGAGCACAACTGGTACTGCCAGCAGACCCTCGTGAATCCACAACGAAGTGCCCCACTGCTCCGTGAAATCATCACTGTACGCAGTTGATGAACATTTGCATGGCCTTCAGTAGGATATCTGCACGCAAGCAGAACCCCATGTTCGAACATCAGACAAGCCATGTTACATCGGCCTGCCCTAGTCTCGCACTAGCACTGCATCCCGCCGTGCGTCAGGTAGGTCAGCAATCACCGACAAGGCGAGCTTCTGCCGCACGTGCTGCTTCTTCGCCGGGTGCGATTCCTGCGGTTCCATCAGTTCCTCACGCTGTGCCTCTGACTGCTCCACCCGTTGCTGCTGCATCTCTTTCTGCTGCGTCTCATGCTGTTGCGCTGTTTCTCGCTAGAGCCCCCTGCTGTTCGGGCGGAAGGTTCCTGTTCCTACTGCTGCTGATCCTTGTTCTTTTGGTCCCATCTGATATGCTTTTTACCTGTTGTGTTGTTGCTGTTGCTTTCCTCGCTGCTGCCGTTGCCTCCGTCTGTGGTGGTCCCGCAGTCTCTCCACGCAGCAGCAAAAAACTGTTGCTGTAGCACTCCACATCCCCTTAATTAAGAACTTAAGTGAATCGAAGACAATAATACCCGAACTTCTCCAAGAGCTGTCATAGTCTGAACACGCCACCGACAAGAAGCAGATGAGGCAGCTTCGCCTGTGTTGCATAGACTGATCCTGGTGCAATTGCCCGAGCTGCCTTCAACAGAGATAACTCCACGGCTTCGAGGACCATGTCTCCATTGTTTTCTGCAACGCCTCTGTACCGCGTAGGAGTCTCCTCGTTCCTCTGCCCTCTTGGGCACTGACTTCGGTCGTATCATTGTAGATGATGCGAGTACTGTTAGAAGCGGCGAAATGTGCACTATCCTGTTGCCTCCCATCATATGCACCTCCATGGTGCCGTCTCCAGGCCTCATTTGCTCCCTGCACTGTGTCATCCACGATATGTCTAAATTTACGTCGTGGTGTATTGCTCCCAAGTAAAAGCTCCGTATGATGGTAGTATGGTTCTCCTCTTATTTGGGGATTTATCTGATGTCCACCCTTTTGCCAGATCCTGTCCGCCATCGGCGAAGCGTTGTCGCAGAAACTGCGCATGTACGTTGCGCCTCCTCGCCGTAGCTCCAGACACCAGTTACACTTCTTAACTCAAGGCAGGTAGCACTGGCACCTCACGAATATTACAACGAACCTGAATCATTGGAGAGTTCACTAGAGGTGGATCTGCAGATGGGGCCGTCACCTCCTGCTCGTCCATCACTGCGCCCTAATCTGTGTGGAAGCCACCGCGTTTCTCGAGACTTTTGTTTGTTCCTTTGGCCATGTTGTTTCTTAGCCCTTTCGATGAAGTTGCGACCCTGAAGTACGCCAGTTCTGCTAATTGCAAAAGATGTAGAATCGCCGCACGGTAAGTTCTCGCAGCGTTCTGATTGCTGAATTCAGCGGCTGGGGTCTGCGATCAATACCTGTCTCATTTACATAGCCACTTTATTCCTCTTCAAATAATTTGCTTGGTGGTGGTATTTTTCCCCTCACTTCGGTGAACTATCCCATTTCCTCGTCTGGCTGCACCGTTTTGCCCTTTCGTTCCCTCTTCGTGGTCCAGCAGCTCTATCAATAGGCCCACCTGTTTAAGTTTTCGCATTTCGCCCATAGCCTATTCCCTTTTCAACATGTTAGCAAACCTACGTCGCGTAGTAAACATGCCGAAAGGATATAATGAACCCGATGCGCACCTGAAAAGTGGCTCCCTTGCGAATGCATAGGCACCAATATCGTGCCTCCCCCTTGTGAAAACGAAGATGCCAATACCAACAGTCGCTCCTCGGATGAACTTTGCAGGCGGAAATACAACTCTAGCGAAGCAAGGATCTAATCCACTGCTTCCTCATTGCGGCTCCCGTCATATCTGGACGTAGGTTAGAGGCGGACGTTTGCCCTTGCAGGCATTTCTCTCTGGGTGGGATGTAGATGCTGCGCAAGTGTCAACGCTACAGGGCCCCAAACCGTTAGAAGCTTCCACACCAGAGGGCACATCCTGATAAATCTCAGTGATGACAGAGGCGAACAGACTGATGTTCGGGAGAAAGATTTCCTCAGTCTCCAGTGTTTTTTTTTGAATAATTGAAACACCTTCGGTTTTAGTCACTGGATTGCTATGCACCAGGCTTCCCACTGTCGGGGTGGAGTTCGTTCCTCGCGCCTGTCCCGATGAATCATGCGGCGCTACCGAGTGCAAACGCCCGTTAACGATCGTATTCGTCGACCTCCGTGTACCGCGATCGAGTCAGAAAGCTTATGTAGGACTGTTTAAGAAACACCTCATATCCTCTACAAAATCAGACGTTCTGGGCATACCGGCCCAACGGCCTGGGGCTGGGGGCAGAGAAGGCTGCATGATAGTAGTTGCAGCTAGTGCTGCCAGGCACCTTCACATGCAAACACAGTCAGAACCCCTTCTGCTGCCCTCGCTAACACTGTACAGAATTGTTGTAGCTCTGCTTGCATGCACGCTGCATACTAAGGCCGAGTCAGTGTTCATGTACGAACTTGCGACAGTCCATGCACCATCGTGCTACGCCTTACATTGCACCAGGAGAGATGATTGCGTTTTTGACGAGGGCAAAAGGAAATGCTCCACTGATTTTGCTGGAAATGAAGCATTTATTGGCTTAGGAGTAGAATTTACATTTTGCCTCCGGATAAACGCGTGGCCTGCGGAAGCGTGGCAGCACATGCAGCAGTAGTGGCGATCGCGGCTATGCCATGTATCTACCCCAGCAGAGCTCGCTGGTGGGTTGCTTGTATGTGAAGGAAGTGTTTCACTTTCAAAATGCATGGAAAGTAAGTAAGCAGAGATTGGGGCACCTCGCATGCTTGTTTTATTCCAGCCCCAACGGTGACGATCGAGTTCTGAAGAGCTGCCGGTCTGAGAGCTCGATAGCTGGGCTGGAGTCCTCTCTGTGTTGGCTGAATGACCACTTCGTCTTCTTTTAAAGTTGTTGGCGGTTGTTTGTTTATGCTAGTAACTTTTCCCCCTCCGCTCCTTGGGAAGCAGCTGAAGTCCAACAGTAGCGAAGCCGTACGCCAGCAGCCACCTGGCTAGGGATGAGATGAACTTTGTTCTCCTGCCGCCTTCATAGTCGTTGGCGCTGCATATTGGTCCAATTTACAATAAATTTCTCGGAATGGCCGCATGTGTAGGTTCAAATAGCACCGTAACACACCCAAATTGACTGCGAAGGGCTGAAGAGGCCGACTGACCACCACCGGCCAGCCCGGACGGAACGGGAAACTCCCCCAAAAGGCGGAACAAAGATTCGGGCGGAGATTGCCGAAGCATTGTTCTTCTTAACGGCTCCCCCTGAGAGTTAGGGAGGCTCTACTCAAGACTGGCTGGCCCTCCGACCCCGTTTCTGAGCGCCTCGGTGCAACCAGGGCGCCAACGAATGCGTCTACAGCTCTTTGTATAGCAGGTCCCCGGATAAGGGTCCCCACACGCTTTGTGATTTGGTATAGCTAAGTCACGTTGGGAGAGGTCCTGGGTGGCTTTCGGGGGACTTTTCTGTTTCCGTCCTCGTATGAAGGGCTTCCTCTCCTACCATATGCTCAGATTTCTGCCAAGGCATTTGAGCGGAAGGTTGTTTCGTGTGAGTGAGAACTGGAAGTTCTTCAAGGAGTGGCGGCCGTACTGCGACTCTCTCTCGGTTCTTACCTTTACCGCGGGAATTCAAGTGTGGTCTTTGGAGGTACTTCGGTATTCCAGGCCTTTTGACGATGGCGCTTCAGGTGCGGCAGGGTAGACTCCATCTCTGTTTATTCCCTTTCCCTTTGCTTCAATAAGTCGCATAAGCTGTCTACTGATCCGCATGTTGCGCTTCGTTTGGTCCCGTTTAATACCGCCAGTGGCCATCCTTCAATTTTCCACTCCCTGCTGGTTGCTGTGATCGTACTTATTTCTAGTTCTTATCATTATGCTTATGGGCCGTTTTTGGCTCCGCTGCTTTTTATGTGCCTTTGCATTTCGTTTTGCTTCTGGGCGGACGATTCGTTGTTGAGTGTACATGGTCTTTCCTTCAGGATTTGTACTGCCTGGCGTACGCCCCTCTCCAGGGCACTTGCTTGATGGATCTGGAGGAGGATGACTACGCACCAGAGACCCTGCAGAAGGAAATAAAGTTCCTGCAGAAGTTTACGTCAACGAGCCTGGAAGTTAGCTTCCCAGTCTCCACAGGACACCTTGTCCCATGCACAAGCTGTGCCATTTGTTGAGGTTGTTTGTTGCTGCAGCCAACTTGCGTTTGCATCTGTGTTTGTCAACTCCATGTGGGCGTGCTTTCGGCTCTGTTCTGCCCGTAGGCCTTCAGCAAGTTCTTTGAAAAGGCAGACATTTCCAGCGCTGAAGGGGCGGCAGCGCTGTATTGCATGACGTCCTTCTTCAACCGCCTGCAGGTCGTCTCACTGCGTGCCGGCACACTGGTGAGCTTGCTGCGTTGTTGATTTGTGCTATGCAATGCCCAGATATTGGGTACTTCGGGTTTGTATGGATGATCTGTTCCTGATGACGGCGAACAGTGTGCTTAAGCGCAGAAACTGAGATACGCCACCTGCTTCCGTAACCAGTGTAGAGTACTGTTTTCTCTTATGGCATTCGACTGCTGCTGGCAGTCGGCGGCTAATTTATTTGCTACTTGCTTCGCTGCGCTGGTGTGGTGTGGGTTGCAGGCGGGAGAGCTGATGGCGCTAAAGAAAGTCGACTACCATGACACCCTAAAGAGTCTTACTTCAAAAGCAAAGGCAGAAGGACTTCACCCCGAAGACACTCGCCTGGAGGACATTGTCGAAACAGGTACATTACGCATTTTCGATTCCCTTGACCAGGCCTTTTAGAGTATTTGGCCTCCTTTTTCACATGGGCTTTCTCATTTCCGTTTTCTCTCATGTAGTCGGCAGCCCTACCTTTTTGTTTGCCAACTCAGTTTATGCAAAGTTGGGGCTGCGGGTTTCGGGATAATCAAACCAAATGCCTTTGGTGCGGCGTTGCAGATAAGGAGGCGGAATGGGATTTCCCCGCCGCAGGAAAGGGGAAGGTGGAGTTTAGACACTCCGTATCAATGGTTGCACCCAGGGTAGGAAACACTTTTCCATGTTGCTTTTTCGCTGAATGTTCACGACTTTGCCACCTTAAGCTCGTCGTGACAAGGTACCACATTGGTCCGGCCGGTCATGGTGGTAGGCAGGATCGAATGTGTGCCACATGGCTGTCGAATCTCAGACAGAACCAAACAGCACACACAGGAAGCAATTTGCTTGCTGCCGTTAACTTGTGCGCAGGACTACGAAAAAGATGAAGCAGCTCAAGTGTCTCATCAGCCAGTCAAGCCGGAGTTCACAAGGAAGAAGGTGCGGAAGGCAACGGGGTACGCCAAGTTCAACTTCTCGGGTACGTCTACCGCGAAATGCGGCGTAGGGGGCGGGAGAATGGAAAGGAAGGACCCTGTTTTCTGAGCCAATGATCATGCTATAATGCGCTATGACGAGCAGCAGCGGATTGCAGCGTTAGGTCTGCTGGGATATGATGGAATCGACGGGTGCGCGTGTTTGTTAAGTGAGTGCCTGTGTACGTTTATGCATTGTTCTTCAGCTGATGATCTTCAGGATTCGGCGAACAAGTCGGATGATGACACGGAAGAAACGAACGTCGGAAGCCAAAGCTCCTCGTCAAAGACGGTTCGCATGCAACCAGATGCCCGCTGGACTTTCACCTTGGGTTCCGTGTACTTTTCGTGTTTTCTCGGGAAATGCATTAGCTAGGCAGGCAGTGTTATGGAGAAATAGTCTCTGTCTGCTGGTTTATTATCAGCTACGACGAAAGGTTACTGAATGCTGGTGCACAGTAGTTCCAGCATCTGAACTTTGCCGAGTTCTCATTTTACCTCTTTTTCTGGTTGTTGCAGCCAAGTTCAGTCGCAAGCGAATCCCGGCCCTCATCAGCAAAGAAAATGGACGACGGTCCCTTTTCCTACCTCTGCTGTTTCTGCCAGTACGTGTTGCACATTCAGCCGGGTAGAGGATAATGCGTTTTGCCGAGCTGGCTTGCTCTTTGTAGCAGAGCGAAGCGCCGTCATATGCTGCACCTGAAAGGCTGGGTTTTATGGCATGCGACTAACGGTTGAGGATTTGTTGCTTGCTGCCGCTGCAGAAACGGAAGTGCGGGCTCAACTGAGAACGAGGTGGTCAGGCGCGGCTCTTCAGTGTCGTTGGGGACTGTGCAGGAAATTCAGGTATGAGCTATATCTGCCTCCTCTGAGAATACGGGCAGTGCAACTAAAGCGATATGATAAGCGCGTTGAGCTGAATAGGGGCGGTGAATGCAACTGGCGTTTTTTTGGTACGCAGGATAAAGATGCAGACGCAAACTGGCACGACTCAGAGCGCCATTCAGGCCGTTACACCCGCATTCGTGGGCGCATGTGCGTTCTTTTACTATTTACTGTCTTTCTCCCTTCACTTATATATTAAATTGGTGTAGACTACATGCTTTCCGTTAGCGGCCGATCTCCAATGATGGTTAGCGAAGTTGGCGCCAATGTAGCTGCTAGTGAGTCGCTGTGGATGAGATGCTTGCGTTGTTTGTGGGCAGACCAACGGGCCACGCTTCCCTCATGAAGTCGAGCAGCGACGACATGCTGGACGTGTTGCTTGCCGAGGATTCTGAAGAAGGTCGTCGCGCGCGCGAATTGCTGCTGCACAACACGGAACTGAACTCTTCGTCTCCTCCTGTCTCTGTTCGCTCGTGGAGTTCCGAATCCAAGGAGTTCCCTAGGGTGTCCGTCGGCGCAGCGAAAGGTTCATTTGGAGAAGCAGGCGCCGATGCGAACCACATGCTCGGTGGAGGGGACAAAAAGGTCTCCGGTTCCCGATCTGCCTCCTGCTCAGGGAATGCCCTGTCCATTATCGAGTGTCACCTCAGCCCCAGCAGTTGAACCGTAGGGAGCGAGGGCTTCATACTCGTGCACCACACTACACAAAGCCGACGCAGTACGAGCAGATGGTAATAAACAAGGCCTCCGGGAAAGGGACTGCTGAGGAATTGAATGGAAGTTCGCAGCGGGGCGGCTGCCGTTAAGCTGAAGGCAGGGGGTTTCTCCGCGGACGGTTGGTGTTGCATTACACGTTGGTTACCAGCCGCTGAACCGTTACTCGTTCCATTGAAGCCGCATCAATTGAAGTGCATAGTTCTTTTGTTCTTTGATTTAAGTGCGTCGGGCGACTTGCCTCGCATTTGCTGCGTTTTGCCTCCACACTCACATTAGGGGTGTCAATATCGCCACAGTATTTCGTTAGATGCTACGCATGGAAAGCCCTGGGCAGCCAAGCACCTAGCCTGTGGGCCTTAAACAAACTACTCAAGGCGCCAGTGTGAAGTGCAGCCTTTGCTCGCTTGCTAGCTTTCTTGTCTTGTAGCTGTTGCTGGCTTTGCTGCTGTGGCAGCAAGCCATGCCTTTGCTGGCTGCAAGCTACCTTTTTCGAGTGCCTAAGTGAGGGTGTCTCACTTTTTCACTGTGCCCGATGTGGAGCTGGTTGCAATGAACAGCCCACTTAGGGGATAATGCGTGGAAAGACAGTCAACTAGGCCCAGCGACTGCACTTTCAGCAGCATCGCAGTTTGGTTATGTTGAAGCGTTTCTCTGAGCCGTGCTGCACCGATGGCTATCGGGACAGCACCGAATCGTTCAGTAGAATGGAAAGAACACTTGCACAAGACCAGCACGGCCTGTGAGCGAGTCCGAAGGCCGATTGTTGCACACTTCGGTCGTTGCAGAAAACAAATTTTGATTCCCTCGCATGCCGACCAAATTTGTAAGAAGAGTCCTCGACCACAACGGAGTGCCGACAGCTGCAGTGCAGTCGGAGACTTGATCTAGGAGTTTGTCTAGAGGTGCTAATATCTCCTTCAACTTCCACGTTTCTTGATCACAGTGACAAGCGGCTGCGCTGGCTGGGCGAGGAAGCGGCGTGCCACGAATTGTAGTACACCCTGCTTCTGCACTTGGTGCAAGGCATCTCCGGAACAAAGCATTGCCAACTCCCCTTTTTTGCTTGTGCTAGGAGTGTAGAAAACTGTTAAGCGTTTCTTCAGCCTTCTGTAGGCAGCCTGCGCCGAAATAGAAATACGCGTACAACTCCCGTTACAAACAATGCCTCGCCCTCTGCTTCAACTGGGCGTGATCACTAAAAGGCTCTTTCCATTCCTCTATCGATGGCCAGTTGTCATTTTTCCAGAGTTGTGGATTCTGCGGAGACGTCACCCCTAGCAATTCGGCACAGTGAAGGCACTGGCGTAGGCACAATTTGTTGAGCGCCTGTTCCTGCCTTTCTCCAGGAAATCCATTAATAAATATAAACAGTCAAGTGGTAAAATAAGAGCATTATTCGGTTCATTGGCCCTTGGAGGGTGCCAGCGGTTGCCAGCAGTGCTCTCGCTCTTCCCGTCTCGCGAGGCACCCGGCCACATTTTCGTTTGCAGAGTCGAGAAAAAGCATGTCTGTAGCCTCCGCCGCAAAATAAATGTGCGTATTATTTACTTGTGAAGTGTAATGACATTTCTCCATTTTCCAGCCGCTAGGAGGTGTAGAGTAGTAACAACGGACGGGAGTCTCTCTGCTCCTCGACCGTGGTGTTAACTTCGCCGCGCGCTCGTGGACGAGGAGACAGTGTCTTCGCAGCCCACGGCTGGAGCAGGATAGTATTCCTCAACTGCGTGCAGTTCGCTTTAACTAATTGAAAGCGCAAACAATATCGAAGATTTGCTGAGTGAGGGGGCAACAAACCGTCTGGAGACACGTGAGATTGCGCCACTCCGGAAGCCGTCGTCGCAGCTGGCAAGAAAGTCTTGTGCTTGGTGTTGCCGTCTTGAAACAGCATATTGCGAGGTGAAATTGGGCATGAGCCTTAATGATCTCCCCCACCAGCTCAGGTAATCCCTGTATTATCTCTATACGTCTTTTCGGATATGCCGAAGGCTCTGTGGGCGGACTGCGACGACTATCTCTACCGACCCGCCAGTCATGTGCAGGTCGGCACTCGCAAGCAGTGACCCTCTCGTGACTAAGGTTAAAAGCAAAAATGGAGCCTTTGGGGCAGCCTCAAATGATCGGGGTCGGGGTAGGGGTGAACTCACTGGAGCGCGATCGCCTGGTCAAGGCGAACATCCTGTACATTGACGGAAGAGACCTGCGTCGGAGTCGAGTCTTGGACTACGCCCCACTGGGTCGAAATATACAGGAAAAAACACAAGAAAGTTTAAGTGACGAACCTATCGCCAGGAGCAACAACGACAGCCTCCTCTCCCGTTACGTGCTCGAAATACTCGTGTTTTTGTGCAACTCAGACTCCCGCTTCTACGCCAAAAAATTCGGAGTTCCCACACTGGACTATCGGAAATCCCTCCAGAATTGCAATGTATGGCCTCTGTGCTTTTTTCGCGGAGTATTGACTGAGGCCGTACGTCCCTGTAGCTCGAAGTTTCCACAGTTTCTGCGTTTCTGCTGCAGAAAGAGACCGCTGCTGGGGCGCTGCGCACACCACCTTATACAATCGAACAGACTATTTGGTACGTGGTGAAGGGGCAATATCGGTTTCAAACAGAAAGCATGTACAATCAGCTGGAGGACGTGTGTGTCAGCATTTTGAACTTGTCTCTCATGGAAGCCCCACCTGGCAGCCCTTCCCTAGGCCCTGACGTTTTGCTTGCTTCTCTCGACGAGTATCACTCCCGCTTATTCGCGAATTACTACAAATGGTGCGACTACTTGGGGGCGGCACCTTTCCCCTGGAGGTCACCGCCTTGGCTCGATGAGAGCGTTTGCGCAAAAGATGCTGCGCTGGCCGACGGCGAGGATCGCGACGGCGCTGGTCAGCTGCTTGCAACGACTAGTTAAACTGGTGGTCAGTGAGATTAAGCTTTTCCTGCTTCTTACAAAAACTTTGTCGTGGACTGCCGGGTTCTGTGCTGCAGCTAATCCGACAACGGAGATATTTTCCCCAGAGACGCGTCAAGAACTCCAGCAGATGATGTTTGAGGTCGCTACATTTAAGCTGCTGTGGGCAGAGGCAGCAAACCTTCGCCATACTCCTGAGCTCCTGTGCTGGTTGTTTCACTGGTTTTGCATGGCGTGGGACAAGGAGTACAGACCTGAAGAGGATTTCATCGACTTGATCCGTGACGTCATTCAACGAATCCGAGACGAACAATGGTAGCTCTGAACTTCACACAGGCTCCGTGCAGATCCTTCCAATACTGAGCTGGCTCAACACATCTGAGTGGCTTTGCACAGATATGTTGCGCATGTGTGCAATTTAGGTACATGGCATCGTCTCTGCGCACCCCTGACCACAATGCGCGACTGATCTACGACGACTTCAATGAACTGTTTTGGAGCCGTCAATGCCTTGACATCCTTCACCGACGCAACGAAGAGACAGATGATTCTGAACAAGAAAGTACACACAAAGTTCAAATGACTCACCAGTCAGCTGACAGAATGTTCTCGTCAGATTGCCAACGCGCCTCAAACCCGAGACCCAAGTCTCAACATAATAAGGACTGCTTGATAGGACTAACCGTATCACGAGAAAACTTGAATGCTGTAGTGGCCGAACTCTCCTGCGCGTCAAAGCCTGGATCTGGAGTCAAAACCTTCGTGGAGCACAGGACCTACGCACAAGTAAGACTCACCCAGCGTTTTCTTATGTCATTTTACCTCCAAACAGGGGCCAACACCAGATAAGTCTCCAAAAAAGCAAGATTTTTGCACTTATACGTGAATTCTCCCTTGCGGGAAGACCCAGTTCGCCAGGGCCTGTGCCTGATGGAATTCGGTGGTGAAGTGCATTTATGGCTTTTGTTTTGTGCACACGCGTCAGCGCGTGCCTCTTTATGTTCAGGTTTTGCGCAACTTTTGGCGTGTATTCGCGTGGCACGTGACCACGTTTGCTGGCATTTTCCTGCTCTATGCTGTACTGGATGAAGGTTTGTTGGAGTTCCCGCCCTGTCCTACCTCCCCACATAGCTTTCACTAGCAACCAAATTGAGGACCTGATATAAACTCCCCTTGGGCTACGCTGAAGCTCGCGATAACAGACACATTTAGCCTTATGCGATGCCGCGGCAAGTATCTTTTGATACTTCGGGTCTTCTTTGCCTCTCCTTGAATCCCATGTCCCAAACACTCTTGAAGGCTTTTCATCTCACTGTGGTTTATCCAGGCCCAAGTGCCAAGAACTAGTCGTACCAAACAATCTTTGTTTTGGATGACTTGACTATTTGTTGGGAATCGGCTCTTTTAGGGGCAGTTGGTGATAGGCCTGTGCGGTTGTTGTGTTCTCAGAATCGTCCTACTCTGCACAAAAGCAGTGGGCTGTCATGACTCTGACGGCTACTTTAACATATGGGATGCTCCCTGTCTTTGACTTAATGCTTGTTGACTATCGGACTCTAATGAGGCCGCAGTGGTGGCAGCTCGCATGGAAACGCGTTCCAATCCATTCTGCAAGAATAGGCTTTGCGCTAGCGGCTCTTGTGACAGTGGCAATGGACGGACTTGATTCCGCTCACCTGCAGTGGACTGGTAAGCCTTTAGATGTCTTCGTGCAAGCGAATTGCAACCAAGAAGACTCAAGTGTTGAAGGTGCTCCCCGTATGGCAGCCTGCAGACACTCCTGAGAGTGGTCTGCATGCGTGGCCTGGAGGTTACAATCACAAACTTGATGAGTTCTCCCCTCACTGCGCTTTAGGTCTTTTGAGCATTCTGTACTGGGCTTTCTTCGTATGCCATTGGGCTCACTATTTTCTTTACGTGCGCGTTCAAGACCGCATGCCGTTCTTTGTTTTGCTGTGGAGCAACAAGTGGTTGGCACCCTTGAGCAAGCCTTCAACCTATACTGGCAGTGTGCCACTGCTAGCCGAGAACTTTACAGACGTGGTGAGCCAGCTTGTGCTTGCGACGTCGGAGCTGCTCAGGGCTCGTAAAGATCTTCCGTCGACGGGCTTCTGTTCATTCAGGAAATTCTATTGCATCTTGGTTTCGTGTGTCGAAGTATTGCAACGGCATCTGGTGCGTCTTCGCAGCTGAAGTATTCCCTTTTCTGGCTTTGTGCCATGGCTGCCAAGGCTTTGTATTGGCTCTACATCATCTTGCCGCCGATGGTTACTGCTTCAAATCATGTTGACTACGTCTCCTGCCGTCCGGTCTACATAAATTCTGTCGTCTTTTGGCCGGGGTATGTTCCTGCGGTTGTACAAGGCTTTATATGGTTACCAGCATTCCTCATATGGCTCTTCGACATGCAGGTATGCACTGAAGCTGCCTGAAGGTGCTTGCATATCCTTCTAGTACACTTGCCAACTCGATACTCGCGAGTTGCTGTGGTGGACTGAAAGTGGCAGGCAAGGGCAAGCTTCCTCGCTTTTGTCACTGTGTCCTGCCAGATCTTCTTTCTGTTGTTTGGAGCTTTTTACGGAAGCATTGACGGCTACATTCGGCGGGTTGGCTACATAACAAACTGCCGAAAGATCCAGCAGCGCCTCCTGCCTATGCTACCTCTCACAGCAGTCTTCCGTCTACCGGGAGATAAAGCGATGGAGGGCAAACACCTATTCAAAAGTAGGTCCGATTATTAGTGTTAATGATAGAGCTGCTAAGGGGAAATCCGGCAGCGCCAAGGAGCGATTGTTGAGCCAGCACTTTTTATCTGCGTATCAGTTATTTCGCTGTAGCCGCACTGCTCGATAATTCTTCTCCAATTATTTCAGGTATGCCCTCTGGAATAAAGCAGCTACCTGGAGCTCTGCAGGCTCGCCGCTCAAGCAATGTGGATCGGTACTGCCGCCGGGGGACCCTTTCTAGGATGCCCACAAGTGCTCGCGACCAACGACAGTGGTGCGCGCCACCACCTGCATTCGCCCTTTCAGGCGCGGCTAATGACTTTCGCGGTCTTTCTGCGCAATATGCAAATACCGGTGACCCCTACGTGAACATGGTGGGGACAGTTACGCTCTGTTGAAAGCTTCCGGGTCCCCCCCTAGCCTTACATCCACAGATATTGAGCTAGAGCCGTTAGTGATTTTTTCCACGTTCTTGCTGTTTTTGCATCGTGATGCCGCACGCACTATATGCATGTGCGTGCTTGTGTTACTTCAGGTGCCTCATATGATGGCCCAGACAGTGACTGGGTGAGCTACTTTACAGAAAACAGGACGCTGCATGTGAAGCTCAAGCCCCTTTCAAACCGAGCAACTAGCTAATCTCACTTTGACCTACTTTCTTTTATGCAGGGCAGAGTTTTCAAGCGCAGATAATGCAAAAGTCAAACGTGACCAAGCTGCCATGAAGAGGTTTGGATTTATTTGGAATGAGATTATACAGAGTTGGCGCGACGAAGATATCATATGCCACGCTGAACAAGAAAAGCTCGAGTTTAATGAGTTACCCCGCGTGCTGCTGGAAGCAAACAGCCTGGCAGATTTGGTAGGCCCATATGACACTAGTAAGTTTGCAAATACAGTAGTGTTCCCTTGTTCCAAGCAGTCTAGCAAGATGGTGCTGAGTAAGCATTGCAACTAGGTGTAGGAGCTGTTGCGTTTCCCGTGTTGGTCTGTTCAGTACTTAGACCGTGGAGGTGCGGTGTTAGACTGGCGTCAATCGATTGTACGCCACCCCGTCTACGTCTATTGCAACGAACTATCTGGCTTTCTGAAGAGCTGCGAGGACTTTCACTTCCAGGCAAACGGCGACATGCTCCGTCTATGCAGCAAACAACAGTTAGCTAAGAGTTTTTACCGCGAGTACTTGTCAGCAGACCCCAGCGCGAGGCATCCTAAGTAAGCGTGCTCTGCGGCATCCACTCCTTCAAAAAGATAAGGCTGATCCGTGCAATGCCACTTCGCTAAAGTGACTCGGGGTGGCCGATGCGTTGACGGTTTGGGGGCGCAAATTGCCTACGTAGCCTCGCCGAACAGTGTGAAAGCTCGTGGCATTCCCCTTCTGCCTTGCGAATAGGTTTGAAAAGTCGATGCACCTGCAAGCTTGCCAAGAAATCGCTGAGGCTTTGATGCTCTACCTTGCACGCTACTTCAGAGAAGGCCGTCAGCTGGTTTGGGCGATGGGAGAGTTGTGGTCATGGGTCAGTCCATTACCGCACTTAACAGCTAGGGTTATCTTGACGAGAGAACCGTTGGCTAATGGTCTTTTGTCTCGCCTCACTTAAGTGTCTTCTTTTTCTCGTCAACGCCTCCCTTATGTGCTTGCAGGTAGACAAAGATTGCACTAGGTTATTGTGGCTCAACCTTAAAGGCCTAAAGCCTCTCTCCAGTGCACTGCATGATGTTTTCTCCCTTGTGCAAAAGGCCAGCGTTTTGGACCCGAGTCACGCAGAGTCCTTGGCAAAAGCAAACGCACAGCTAAAAAAGGTAATCCACGAGAAACCGAGAACCCAAGTATTTTGGATGCCCATTATTTGCACGCAAGCCTCTAAAGTGTTTCACCCGTGTACTAATGCCTTGCAGACATTGCTTGCAATGATCATGTTGCCAAGCAGTGAACCAGAAGAACTCGGTGGGACGAACATCCCACTACCTGTGCAAGAGTATGTGAAGGCCGTAAGTGTTTGCTTCGGTTCGCACTCGATGATTAAAGATATTCCTTCGATATTGCCAGCTCCCCTACAGCGCGCTGAAGTGGCGGTCATGATTGAACAGCTCGAAATAATTTTGCAGCATACCTCTCTGTTACTCCTTTCCAGTGAAGAAGAAAGGGATTCAGTGAATGCCGGTGGTGAGGCTTTACATGACAACCGCCTAGCTACGCGTACAGCCCTACAGCAAAGAAATTCCTCATGCTTCAAGTAGGTTCTTCCCGTGTGGACGACTGTGGTTGCTCAGACCTACCACTGCTTCCTGAAGAACTGGCGGAAATGCGTGCACTTCACGCGCAACTTGGCGAAGCGGACGCCAGCGTAGTTTTGGGAGATAACAGGTCGCAAAGTGGAAGGCCCCCTGACAGAGAGCCAGCAGAGTCAAGGAGGACTGCAGTGGTGGAACACGGGCTTAGGATGTTTTTTCGGAGGGCTGCACGCATTCTTAAGGCTGACGACCCATCTTTCAAATGTGCCGAAACTCAACGAAGGTGTGTCAACCTGATGCGTGGGCTAAAAAGTAATCGGAAAGTCGCCGTTAGATAAGACGAACCGGAGGCACTTTTCCAGCGTTTCGTACGTTGCAGGTTTCGGTGAAGAAGCCGTGTGTCTTGAGTTGTGCTTTTGCGACGCCTTAGGTTCGGCACATTTGTGAATTCTCTTCTTATGAAAATCCCCGAGACCCCTCTGGTTCGCAATATGGTTTCGATGATGACCTTAACACCGTACTACAGAGAAGATACGCGCCTCGACTTGCAGGTGAATTTCTGTTATTTTCCCGTAGGGCTTTCTTCTCAAAATGTTTGCACGTGGAATCTCAACTGATCTAGTCAGTAGTAAAATCCCGAATACGCATGCCTGTAGCGTCTAAAGACGCTCTACGCTCTAATACACTCAGATTGCCAATGCTTGCCCAGGATCTGGAGAAGCGAACCGATGAGGGAGTGTGCAAGATGGATCTCCTCCGCAGTCTACACCCAGTTGAGTTCGACAATTTCATTGAGCGAGTTGACCGCGACAGGGACATGTTCACCATTAGACAAGAAATAGAAGATAGGGTTACGGATTCACCTGAACGGCGCAATTTAGCCCTAAGAGACATCCGCACCCAAATGCAGCAATGCGGGCTGCTCCATCGGTAAGTACTTGGTTGGTTGATACGGAATTAGCTGTAGTGGGATAAATCTTGACATCCAGGCTTGGGCCGTCTGCATTTATGCTGCTACCTCGCCGTGCAGATACGATCGATTCTGCGAAATGCTTCAAGAGTGGGCATCATACAGGGGCCAGGTTCTCATGCGCACAGTTTACGGCATCATGTATTATGAGCAAGCTGTTCGAATGCAGGCATGTCTTCTGGGTTCGGCGCCCACAGAATGCCGCAGCTCGCAGTACCGGAGAATGATGAGTCGTTCGCAAAACAAGCTTTCAGCTTTGCCTAACCTATACATTCCTGTAAGGGATCAATGGGGATTACATTTGTATGGCCCTGCACTCCGCGCCAATCATGTGCACGAAATATGCAGGCATACATTGAGGAGACACCTCCAGAGGAGCTGCATCTGTGCCGAGACTCAAATCGGCTCGACGAAAGTCAACTGGGCATTATTAGGAGCCCAGAGGGGGCGTTGTGGAAAGAAGTCGTCGGGTTCGCTCCCCCCTACGAAATGAAGCAGTCAACACGGGTACGTTGAGCCCCTCGACTATTCATACAACTTCCTTCGCACCAGCAATCGCTAACCTTTCCTCTGACGTTGGGCAGAAACAATCTCTGACTGTTTCCTGACGCTCAGGAGCTCGCCCAACTGAAATATCAATATGTGGTTGCTGCCCAGGAGTTTGGGGCGGACCTTGCAGCACAGCCGCCGACAGGCGGGTGTGAGCCTTCCCCGTTGCTGCGTGCTCAGCTGCTTAGAAAGGTGGCCCTTTATAAGCTTTTAGTACGCTACCCAACCCTGCGGATCGCAACGCTGGAACATGAACGCACTCCCGACGGCAGGCCTACAGGTCACAAACTCAGTGTCCTTTACCGGCTGACCGCCGACATTGATCCTACTGGACAGCGAATTTCCTCTTTAAATGCAGCCGCCATGACAGAGATGAAGACTGCAGGAAGGTTCGTTAGGTCGGCAGATGGAGAATTGGTCCCGGCGCACATTCCCAATCTTTTAATCCCTGCACCGCGCTTACCTGTCTGTACGCCAGGAGCTAATATGGAAACAGGGTCTACCGTTACACTTAAACCCAGGTGCGGGACCAGCAGCAGCGGAGGCACTGGAGGGGATCGATCGGGCGAGGTTGCTTCTAGGCGCAGCAGCAAATCGCCATCTAATTCTATCAAACACCAAGTGTTGGCGGCTTCCGCTGAGGTGTCGCCTAGCACCTACGGGCGCGGCATTGTTGGGAAAGTTGTGCAGGGCATGACAAGGCATCGGCATGCAGACTCCCGACAGTACATCCGCACAAGCATTGTAGAAGGTACCCGTCAACTACTGAAAAAGGGGTTCCTATGTCCTGAAACAGAACCAGCAATCGGTGGTCCTAAAGCTAACGAGTTAGGCAACAGCGTAGAAGTCCACACGTCGGCGTCACCTGCGAAACCTGAAGTACAGGCACAATCAAATCCCCTGTTGGCCTCTCGATTCCCTAGCAAGGGCGGGGGAGTGACGACAAGTGGAGGCGCTGGGGATTTCGAGTCTAGGATTGCGCGGGCTATTCACTGGCTGCGCCAGAAAAAAGAATGTGACCGATCATTATTTGCAGCCCGAACAAAGAGTGCTTTTCCGTATCCAACTTCTTCTCAACAAGGAACCAGAGATCCGGATTCGAATAATCGCTTAACGTTTGCACATCCTGAGGCAGCTGGAGGGGCAAGGAAAACTTTCCTGTCCATGTTGCAGCAAGGGCTGCCCGATGGTCCTGAGGCAAAGCCAGCGGAGGCTGCCAGATGCATCGTCAATTCGTTTGAAAGGACCGATTTCACTGCTATGATAGTTGAGCGTTCAGGCGATTCAGGATCTGCAGGAATCTCGTCTGCCAACAGACTTCAGACAGAGATTCAGTTGCGTCAAGCTCCTCTTCATAGCGCAAGTCCACGGGCTCCTCTTTCGCACAGAAAAGCTAGGGGGGGCATCACGGCTGCCTCACCGGAAAAGGGGGACTGTGAATACCCAAACAACCTTCCGGCTCAGCCGAACCCCCCTGACTCGAGCATGAGCCGCTTCCAATCGCAGAGAGACTCTGCGCGCCTACCACACTATGCCCCTGACTGCTTGCCCAATATTGCTCCCACTCCAACGCTTCTGGAAGCCCAATTTGCTCGCGATTTGGCGCGCGATTGCATGGGCGCCACGTCATCCGTTGGCTGTTCTGGCGAGCCCCAAACAGTAGCTGTTCCCCTTGGCTCTTGCCATGACGAGGGAAAGAAAAGCATGGATTGCTCGGGTGAGTTTTTCGCGAGAGTCATCCGCTGGAGGACTCAAACATCAATGCGGAATGCTGCTTGTTGGTTGGATTGGAGCAGCCCTGCTGATGCACCAGGTGCCGAGCACACTTCAGGACTGAGAAGACACTCCATCATAACTCTGCATCCTAGGCAAGAGAGCGCCTTGTTGTGGACTGCCTTGCCGACCACGGAAGCCCGCCGTTTGGAACATGTGAACTCTACTGGATGGCCTGAAGAATCTTTGGTGGCTAGTAACAAGGACGCCGTCAATGCTAACAGCCAAAATAGAGTAGGAATTGGGCGGCATACACCTTCCGTTGGGGGGCTGCTCCATCGCCACGAAGCCTTTCACCGAACAGAGTTCCAAGTTTCTCCTCACGCTTTGGAGGCAAGGAGCACACTGAGCAGGCAAAATAACCACGATTGGCAAGCCAACAAACGCCAGCCAGTTTCTCCCATCGACTTGGGAGCAAATGAAGAGAAGCACGACCCTCGCTCGAGGTCATCAAGCACTGCCGCCCATAGAAGCAACAGCGTCGGTGCTCTTAGGGAGAGGGGGTTGCTAACAATGAAGGAGCGAGTAGCCTTCTTCGAAGACAAGCTGTCGCGCCACCAAGCGCTCATGGAGGCTGAGGCGCAAAGCCTCGCTAGACTTAAACTCAACTCTAATAAAGAAGAAATGTTGTGGCCATCACGGAGAGGCCCATTGCGGCTAGAGGCGATATACAAGATTCGGCTACCTTTGATAGTAGACGAGTCAGGGACGCCGTGGGGTAGAGCTCCGATCATTGGCCCGGGAAAGCCTGAAAATCAGAACCACGCCATTGCCTTTTCGCGAATGGACACTATGCAGGTGATGGACATGAATATGGAGTCATACCTCGAAGAAGCTATGAAACTCCGTAATTTGCTGCAGGAATTCGCACTGAACGCACGCATGCGGATTCTAGGTGAGAAAAACTACGAAAATGCTCTTTCATCCAAACACTTGAAGAGGCATGCTAAATTGCGCCAGCCAGTGCTAGCATCGTTGTTATTATGACCAGCTAGAACACCTTCGGCATTCCACGTCCACGAGAGTCTAGAAAAGGTCAAAATGATTTGCGGGTTTTGCGCACAGGCTTCAGGGAGCATATATTTACAGAGAACGTTTCAAGTTTGGCCAGTTATATGGCCCTGCAGGAAAACCTTTTCACAACAACCAACCAACGTTTGTACTTTACTCCACTGAGAGTGCGCAAGCATCACAAATCTTGCTTGGCATTTTGCTTTTGGCAACTGAACTAAACATCGTGGGCAATCTGCATGGGCAGATAGTAGCAAGCTACTTGTACTGTGAGCAGAACGTAAAGTAACACTCATAGTGCCACAAAATCTGAATTTGCATTGCGCTTTTTCGTTTCAGGTGCGGATGCACTATGGTCATCCTGACATCTTCGATCGTTTCTTCGTACAGACGTGCGGCTCTTGTTCAAAGGCTTCCAACGGAATTAACCTCTCAGAAGACATTTTTGCCGGTTTTAATTGTACTGCTAGAGGTTATTGTGTGCACCACGCTGACTACATACAGGTAGGGTACCGGTAGTACCAAAGCAAATACAGTAGTCCATTTGAAGGGAGATTCCTGCGCTGTGCGTGTGCAGCCGGGTGTTCAGAACTCAAAGAGAGGGCAGTGCGCTTGATTCTGTGTGCACTTGGGTTAGTCCTGGTAGCAAACCTGGGAAAGGACGCAGCATGCGAAGCAAATGTGCGTCCTCGGTAGCATTGTGTTTACATAACAGCTGTATATGGGTCTCACGCCAATTAATTTTCACATTTGTGGATGCAGTGTGGAAAGGGGCGGGATGTCGGTCTACAACAAGTCGTCATGTTCGAAAAAAAGGTTGCTGGGGGAAACGGAGAACAAGTTCTTAGTCGGGATCTAAATCGCCTTGTTTCGAACATGGACTTCTTTCGAGTGCTGTCTTTATGGTTTACCGGCCCTGGGTTTTTCTTAAACTCTGTTATCCTCGTTCTGGCTGCCTACGTGTGCCTGTACACAAAATGTTTCTTGGCTTTTGCCAGTGCGTTCCAGGCACCAACGGCACTGTGTATGTGGTAATGCACTTAGGCACAGCTTGAAACTTCTAGAAAATTTAGTTGCTGGGACAAACATGCACATTTTGACAAAACCAGTGCTATCCACTGGGCTGCCCTGCTGCGTGCGTGCTTATTTGCTGCAACGCAGAGTACAACTATAGTGGGCCGATTGAAAGCGCTCTACAATATGTATTAACGCCCTCCACATACGTTCAGTTCCAGCTCGGAATGCTGCTCGTCTTACCACTCATACCGTGGCTGTTTCTAGAGAAGGGTCTTGGATCTGCATTGCGGAAACTTCTCGACCTCTTCAGCAAGTTTTCTGTCACCTATTACAACTTCATGAGTACGTACCTCACTATTATCTGTGCACTATGCTTGACAATTGATTGCTATGCATGAAAAAAAACCGGTAGCATTCCCCACTAGCCACTTTTGAAGGACATTGGGAAGCTTTTAGAAGCCAATGGGAACGTTGACCCTTTGCACATGCGATTCGCGTTTCTTCTGAAGCGTGCACAAAGGCATCCGTCATAGACCACGTGTTAATTTACGGAGGAGCCAAGTATCAGGAAACTGGGCGGGGATTTGTTATTGAGCGGGCTACCTTGAAGGATATTTGGATGTTTTTCTACTTCACACATTTTTCTATTGGTCTAGAAATGTTCGTCCTCCTGATCATATATGCTACGGTTAGCAAATAATATAACTACTCTTGCACTTAACAAAAGAGCTTACCGTACACAAGATACAGCATCGAAAAGTAATTTGAATTGCTTTCTGTTGGAGCTAAGACCAACCTGATAGTGCCCAGATGAGATTCAGCTGTGTCGGCCCTCCTGAAGCTGTACAATGTTCCCTTGTGCGCCGTTGATTATTTGCCTTTTTGCCAGTGATGACTGTGCAGTACGCTGGCCTTGATGCTGGTGTTCTTTTACTCGACACTTGGCCAATTTTGCTAATGGCCGCTTCGATTATTTCTGTTCCCTTCATCTTCAACCCCCTGGGATTTTACTATCCTAGACTGCGCCAGGACTTCACGAGCTGGAATACGTGGCTGTCCTCCCAAGTAGGTCTTCCTTCTGGTCCCTTGATGCGCTTGAGCAGCCATATTTCCATCCAACGTGCGCCGGTGCACGCAGCAACAATTGACCATTTTCCTTGGTTGCAGGAATTGGGTATGCCAAAGGAATCGTGGGTATCATGGTGGAGAGGAGAGATGGAGCAGCGGTGTAACATTGCATGGCACCACAAAGTCATTATCGTGCTTCGACTCCTACGATTTCCGCTCCTTGCTGCCGGGATCACATCCTGCGTTGCAACGTAGGATTACACTGTCATGAATGCGCTTGGTTGCTTCTACTGTTTCTTGGTGACCCCATCAGCTGTATTATCATGTACGCATATGTACTGCTCTTTTACACTCATATGAACGTTATAAAACAGAGCGAAGGTAAGCTATTCATCATTTGCTCTGTTGCAATGTGCTGCCCTCAGCTCAATACACTCAGCAGATGTAGACTGCGCAGTGTATCTGGTGGCAGCATCTGGACTTTTTGCCACCATTAAGGCATTATTAGGGGACTTGCAAATGCTTAGCCCGTCTGCAAAAGCGTGGGTTTCTCTTCTCCTTGTCAGTGGGACAACAGTCCTGCTCCTGTGGCTCGTCATAACCAAGAAAGTGTCGCTGGCATCCATCATCGTTTCTTTATTTGCTCTTTGCCTTTTTATCTACGGGGCCCTCGAGATGGCTTTCGCGCTTTTGGACCGGTGGGCAGTCCGCAGCGAAATGCTGTCAGATGTAGTCCGGTACGTTCCGCCGCTGTTAACTACAAAGTTGGGTTCATCCTTCGAAAGGAACAAACAGCGCGACTCCCCCTAGCTGCCCCCTGATGATTTTCTCGCTGCTATGAATGAGTGATCCTTCCTTGTGTGCTCAGGATGTACCACCGATGCGCAGGATTCTGCACGTTTGCCCCGCTGTTAGTCCTCTCAGCCATTACCACCAGCGTGCATCACCTGCAAACGCGAATCCTGTTCAATCCGACTTTTGTATCCATTGTTAAAAGCGGCCTGGTGCAGCGTGAACAAGTTGAGAAGAGTGGCCGTGGCCACAGCTGACAGTCACACGCGGGAAAGAACCCCCGATGGCGAACCTTTTGTTGAGCTCAACAGTCTTGCTGCACTCTGCTGAACAACGATGGCAGTATATGCTCCCACGCTGAACTTCATGGTACTGCAGAAAGCATTTGCATTCTAGTAGCTTCTGTGACAATACCAAGAAATCGGCTTCTTCGGAAACTTAAGACACTCTCCCCGCACTTTTGTACTTTTCCGTGCTCGTTAATAAGAAGAAACTTTTTCATTGTGTGTTATGGTACCAGCATCGCGCCAAAAATATGGATAGTGCGTACAATTTGCCCTAGTTCATCGCTATACACAAGGCAGGATTATTTAGTTAGAGATATGTTCCATATACAGTTTCGTTCCTACGGTCTCAGTGATACTGGCCGCTGCCGGCGTCGCCATAAGGGGGACGCCAACCGTTTGTTCGTGCGAGTCCAAGCGGCGGCTGCAGCCGAACAGACGCTGCACCGTATTAAAGCACCTTTTTTGACAGTGACAGGGGAAGAGGTGTAAAGCACGCACTATAGCGTTCTTCTTCTGCTCAATGTACAAATTTCAGAGTTCCCCGACTCGTCCCTGCCGGGGAGCAGTAGCTCATAAGCACCTTGTTGCGCCATGCGGCTACTGCTGTGAATGCCGCCTCTCTCCACACGAATCCACAACTCGTTCGCGTCGGCGACGGTAGTTGCAAGGAGCAGCATGGCGGAAACCATGTCCTTCCATGCGTTTCTGGAGAAACAAAAACTGTTTTTGGCTAGTGCGAAGACTAACCGACTACGCTCTTCAAGACTACGAAAGAGCAGTTCGCCTTTGGCATCTACGTGAAGCGGAGCATGCATGCTCTAGTATTTGGAGCTGACTGGCTTGAGGAGATGAACGGCGTCCTTTTTCTAAATACGGCAATATGGAAAGATAAATATATGGTGTGACGTTTTTCAATCGAAAGTTACGGCAGACGCGCACTATCAGCCGTGGCTGGTCCACTTGCGATCAATGTAACGGTTGTTTCTTTTTCTCTTAGTTTTCCCTTGTGCATCGTTCCTTTATCTCCTCAGCTCCAATAGAAAGGCTACTGGACTCATTTAAATTAGAAAACGGCGTCCCACAAGCTCAATGGCCCGATTATTTGCCACGTTGGAAAGGGCCTTGCAGACCTTGCCAGTTGTGAGCGTCCCACCGTGACTGCCCACGCATGAAGCAGTGTGGTTGGACAAGTAGCTTTGACATGTTCAGCTGCAGTTATGGCCATGAAAGACTATGCCAAGTCTAAGCCCTCCGATATATTTACGATAACACCGGAGTTGCCAAACCTCCACTGACTGTCGTCGCATCATGATGCCCAGAGAGTCGCCAGAACGCTCATTTGATTGGACGGATCCATCAACCCCTGTTGCGGAACTGTCGCTGGGACCTGACACCCACAACACTTGCGTGGCGAATCTGGGAGCAAGATGGTTTAGATTAGCGGACAGTGTCACAACTGTAGTGTACCGTGTCCTGTCAGAACGCATACGAAGGCTGAACGCGGAAATACATACTGCGGCTTCAGTGTATGGGTACTTCGTTTTTGCCAGCTCAGTGGCGCCTCTAAAGGATCCTCCTGGAAAACAAAGCATTGGGAGAAAGCGGGGGCCTCGTGAGGAGGCCACGACAGAACCTGATGCCCATGACAAGCGGTCGGGGGTGAAGCCACGCGTTGAAACGCAGGCGAGTCAGTCAGTAGATCCTTGGGGGAATCTGCGTAGGAGGTTATCGTGGCTTCTGTGCTTTTCTTTCACAGGGCTAAAGCACGCAACTAGAATTTCCGCAACAGCAGCAGTTTGGGCGGTCATCGTGCTGCTTTCTAGAAAGAGCTCTGCCCAGCTCGTCGTTGATGGCATGGGGATATTTATATTTATCTTAGTAGCGAGCTGCGCCGTCGTATGGGGCCATCTAGAATTCACAGTGCGTCGCTCTTCAAAAAGAATCTACCAGCTGCTTGCTGATTTTGATCTTCAGCACAAGCTATCAGGAGAAATAGTGAGGTGCGCTCCCAACTTATCTTACTGCTTCAAAAGTATAGGTACTTGCAACAAGCCGTCCACGACTTCACTCCTTCTCACTGTCTGGGGAGGTGGTCAAGTTCAGTTCCGGACTATCCTTTTTAGCGAGGGTGTTTGATTGAGAATCTGCGTTGTCTTTTTCAGATGGATACAAGAACTTGAAGCCACCCTTAAGGCTTTTCCAGATATCCGTGGAAAGCGGGATCAGTCAGTTGCTGGCGCTTCCCCATCTGGATCACCATGCACTGATAGCCACGGCCAAGCATGTGACTGTTTTTCAGAGCAGCGTTACGAAGTCTCCGTCATTGGCCCGCCCCACTGGGGAAACATTCCTTGCCAAAACGGGAGGGTAAGCGGACCAGAATGGGGGCAGTTGCCGCCCGATGGCTTACAGATGGAGCCGTGTGCGTGGCACTTGAGAATGCGCCTGTACCAGGTGCTGGACTGGCAGCAGCGTATTTTCTGCTACCTATACGAAGACATTATTAGGGGGGAACCACGCACTCGCCCTGCCTGGAAATGCCGAATGTCTCAAGGGCCCTGGAGACATGCTGAGCAAAGCTGTTCTGGTAGCTGTCAGTTTGACGGCAGCCTTCGGGTTCTTAAAGAAATGACTTCCAGAAGCTGGATTTTGCACTCGAGGCTTCTAGGAGGCATTCAGGTGGCATTGAGGCATATTCTGTTCTCACTGAGCACACAACTCTTGAGGTCTGATTTCGCTTTGACACGGAAATACGGCAGCGATGCGCGGGCATTTTCCTCTATTCCAAAAGGGATGTTGACCCATCATTCGAGCCGCTTCCTGAAGCAGGCACTCCTAAAAGCACAGCAGCACCACTCAGCGAACGGTTGCAGCAGATCGTTACGTGAAGAAATAGATATGGCAGCAGGGGTGCGAGGCCAAGGAGAAAGGGATACTCAAATCCTTAAAGGCTTCCTTCTGAATCGTTGCGGCAGCAGCTGCACTTCTTGTTCAACGACCAGCGGGAAAAGGCAGAAAAGAGTGCAACAGTCCACCACATCAACTACTACAGTGGCTGAGAAAGGGGCATCTGGCCACCAAGAGCAATTTGCTTGGGTTTGGATCATGCGTAATGCTTTAGTTGTTGGGTTATTCAGTGTGTGCACTGTCTTCGAAGCAGTAGTTGACGGAATACGAGCGTTATGGTGGCTTTTTAGCCGGATTCACCGGCTTGGTGTTGCACTATCTGCTGCTGGCCAGGTAGCTGCAGAAACAGCGAACGCTTTGCGTTTGATTCTAGAGGAAGACTGGGCATCATCTCCTTTTTCCTCCCAGCCTCGCTGGGGTGGACGGATGGGCAAGGGGGGGGAGGTGCCGGACAAACGTACGGACGTCGTTGGGAAGAGCCTTCAGGTGACCCACTGCTCTGTGTTTCCTCCCACCTCCTCCTCCCAATATTCGGCTACTTTGCTTAAGAATGCACCCGAGAAGCACCGGTCTGCTTTGGCGTCGATGAGCCGCAACGTTGGTGCATCTCTTGCTCTCCTACGACTTCCTGCAGCAGACTACAGTTGCCACTTTAAACGCCAAGGGGGTGACCTATCTGTACAGGGAGAACATAGGACTGCCTGCGATTCGGACAGGTGCAGTGTGGACTCAGGGAGCAGTGTTCTTCTGCCCCAGACGAACCAGCTCACCGTACCAGAGGAGAGGCAGGAAGCAGCAGATGCGGAGGTGCTTCGCTTGTTACATCTGATACTTCGACACTTGCGGGTGGCATTCGAGGAGGGGGAAAAACTGGAGAAGGCACTTTGGTCAAGGGGAGAGCAGTTTGCAGGCATTAGAACCTCCGACACCGCGAGGACTTCAGAAGTCGCCCCAGTTCAGCCACTGGAAAGGACGACGGCCACTGACGAGACAGAACAACAGCTGCAACCAACCGTTGCTGAGTCTGTGCAGTGCCTCGAGGTATATACAGCTGTGGGGCAGGATTCTGTCACCAGTAGACTGAGATATAAAGAAGAAGAACGACTAAAGGAAGCCTTTGCTGAGGATGATCCAGCAGTGCGCGAGCGCAGCCAAATTACTTTAAGGGAGCTGGAGCTGAGCCTGAAAAGGAAGGAGAAGGAACGACAATGCTTTCCTCGCGTGTTGAAGGAACTTTCGGTAATTGATTCCGGTCACGCAGATGGGTCAGACTACGGGGAAGCAGAAGAAAGGGCAATTGTGCGTGTTGTGACAGAAAGCAGCAGAGAAGTGGGCCACTTTTCTGCAGCAAAATCTTCCCCTAGAGTCCCGACTTTTACTTTGGGGGAACAAGACGTCCAGGAGAAGGCGACCTCTCTCTCTAATAAAATTGGTACGGGCGGTGATGCGAATGCGAAGAACGTAGCTTATCAGGGTTTTTCTGACTTCTCGCCGCTGCATGGAGAGAACACCGTCCTTGAGGCAGTAAGCGAGCCGGAAGAAACGCGCAGTTTGCGAGATGTAGAGACCCTCGACAACGAACAGGTAGCATTTCGAACGCGCCAAGAGAAACTTAAGGGCTGTTGTGCAGGAAGCGTCTCCTTGTCGCCTGAGGCTCTGGCGACTCAGTCCCTAATGTCACAGCTAAGCGGTGTTCTCCAGCGGCAAAAGAGACCATCCTCGGAAGGACATAATTTGCTGTCCTCCAGAGCAGCATTGTTAGGGACACCTCTGGCATCTAGCAACTCAGGTACTTTCGGCGACAGCTTGGCAGACGAAGAGTGGAGCGCATGCGATGTTGTTGAAGGGCCGAGCTGTGCAGCAGAAGTTCCAACCTGGGTGGCAGCACCCTCTGATTTGGGAGACAGTGGAGTTGATAGTTTGAATGTACAAAGGGAAAGCTGCGTGTAGTACCATGGGGGTAGAAGCACTGGTAAATGCGGGAGCTTAGGGGTTAGGGCTTCTTCATGCCAAAATGGAATGGTCTCGCGCTGCTTGCATTGAACCGTCTCTTCGTGTACGCATGGCTAGGTCGGAGCTAGCACATCCAGGCCGCTTCGGCGACCCACTGGGGTTCTCAAATAATGCAATCTCAGACGCAGGCGCTGTTGTGTATTAGTGTCTTTCGGATAATTTCGTTTACAGTTTTGCAGCTTCTCTTGCGTAGTTAGTCCGTCTAGATGCTGTTGCATTTCTGAAATCGCTGTAGTCTGTTAGCTGCTTGCGGACCAGTTGCTGCTCTTTCTGCTACAATTTCGCCAAGTAGTTTGAGTTGGAGCTCTGCACTGCTTCACTGCTGGGTCATTCAAGCATATGATGTCTTTTGGGCAAAGGGCACCACAATCAAGGGGAACCTGCCTATACCTCTCGTGCTGAGCTGCTTTTTGACGGCTTCTTGGTGCAGTATACAGTGCACTTGCAGGACTGAAGACTAAAGCCTTCACGGGAGGGTAGTTTTCTCAGGACAGAGACGCGGGGGGTAGTATGCTACCAAATGTGGTCGGTTCTCCAGTTTGGCCGCACTCGTGGAAAAGTCATTGTGCCCGGAATAGGCGAAATTCGCAGTCGATCAGTATCCCACCGATGTGGGAAGAATGCATGTACTGGCCACGCACTTCTCCATGCTGGGCGCGGCAGCAATGACATTCACAAGAAGCATATTTCCAACTCGCAATTGCAGAACTGCGCTACAGCGGAGTAGAAAAGATCACATTTCCAGGTAGGACGTTGACCTGGGCCTGCTGCAAATCCAGTGCGTCATGGGAGTTCGCTGCAAATCCAGTAACACACAGTGTATGGCACAGTGCAATGGCAAAGAGCGCAGCCTCAACCCTAGTTTTGCTGCTGTGACTGTAGTGGTCAAGGTTCAGGGGGATGGGCCTTGGGCTTGCTCGTGGATTACCGCGACAAGATTGGAGTCCATGCGAGGCAGGAATTTCACTAGAGGCATCTTGCTCGTTTATTTTTCCAGCCTCAGCTAACATGTGATTTTGCTCTTCTTGTGACGAGTGCCACGAGCATTCGAAAATATCGATGCTATCGTTCCACGCATGGATTTCTTGCGAGGTTTCGCCTTCTGCCACCCACCGGAGGTAAGCTTTGTAGAGACCCTTTGCGCCCTCTTTACGGATTGCCCGGATCTCAATAAGAAAATTGAAAAGTCTTACCGTAATATCTGCTGTTGGAGTTTTCACGTTCTTGAGTGCGATCCGTAAAAAGCTCACTCCTAGACCTGAGCAGGCACCATCTACCCTCACGGAAATCTGCAGTCCCCTCGTCATTCTGCACCGTTACTGGACCGACTAGTATGCGGCACAATGTCCTACCTCGGAGTTTCATGCATTGATGTAGTTCCATCATTTGACGGTAGCTTGTTCCTTGAGAAAGCAAATCCAGTTGTGACTTTCCCTTGCAAGCAGCAGCTAGCGCTCGACCATGTTCAGAAAGCACGGGATATGCCTTACCGGTGGCGAATCCGTAAAGCAGGCCTATCCCTAATTTGTCTGCGATTTTGGGTATTTTTACCCTTCCACTGTCAAGTAATGCCCAAAATTTGCGCCCAACGGCGCTGGTGTCTTTACAATCAGCCTTGATGACGTTCGTTATAGCTCTTATCGGGTCCACGCCTACGATCAAACATCATAACGTGTATGGAGGGGTAAGGTTGAAGCCCCAAGGCCACCTCTAGCATGCTTCTTCGCCTGTTTGAGCCTAAAAAGCCAGCCCCCCGCGGGAGCACAGTGCCTGCGAGCTCAACCTACCATGGTTTAGGATCATAAGCGTCTGATACTGTCTGGCTCGGCGGAACGCCTCCTCGATTTTGCTGGGCGTAGGATTTGTTTGGTGTTGGCTGCCGTTAGCCCACATCATGAGAATAAGCTTGGCGAACTCATGGCCAGTCTTATGATGCACTGCTTTGTCTGAAACTTTGCCTCCCGATTTTCTCCCGAAAATATTTCGGATTCGCTTCGTGACCTTGCCGACTGTTCCTGCTGCTTGGTACCCAAAGCCTCCCATAAACTCCTCAATGAACTTTTTAGCGTTTACCATAAATTGCCGCACAGCCTTTTCATACAGTTTTTGTTCAAAAAGTCTGCCGGAGAACAAGGCTACAGCCTCTGTCCATCCTTTGTTGGCATGCTCTTCAACTTCAACTCGTAGGAATAAAGCTGAGATGTGAAATGGCACATGCAGTCAATAGACTATATGGAAATTACCTTCCGGTGCTAGCACAAACTTTGCAGTATCCCGGTTTGTTTGATTTGGATAGATTGACCTACGTCATCACAGGTTTGTCAATGTATACCATAGCTAGGGCGTGGACCCACCTATACGAATAGCCAGTGACGCAAAAGGTCCAAAAAATGTGCGGAGAGCTTCAGTGTCATCGGCAACACGACAAGAAAGCAACCTAAAGAAGGCAGAAAAAGCCTTGGAACCTCTGGCCAGTTTGCGCATTTTTTTGCTGCTCTGCAGGTTGGCTCCCACGATGCCTGCGTGGTACCGGAGGTCCGTTGCCACACTCAGCGCCAAGAGTGGGAGGTGCGCTAAGCCAAATCCCGCCATCCTGTCGGTTCCTTGTATCGGCCCCACGGCGTCCTTCGTTAGGAAGTCCGCCACGCAAGACAGCTGTTCAGCCTCTTCTCCAAGGTCGCCGGGGACTACCGCTGAACTGGCAATGCGAGCTAGGCGCCATGTCTGGCCACTCAGTAGGTCTAAGTAAGGGAGTGCATCAGCAGCCGAAAAGGTTGATAGGCGAGCAACTGCACAACAATGACATATGACTGAACAAATGAGAATGTGACGATCGCAGTACGAAATCATGGGCATCTGAAATTAAGTGAGACAACTAAACCAGTTGGCTAGGGAAGTACGGGAAGAAGCGCTCGGTCAATCTGTCTGCACTATTCGCCAAGTGCTGTGGAAATACCATCTCCAGCAAGGATGTACTCCATTGCAACATTTGTTCTTTTGACATATTTCCAGTCAAACCAGTAGTTTCTTCTCACAACGCCGCTCATGCAACGTGCGTCGCATTCGCCCAAGTATCCAGGGGCCAACTGTCCTGAGGTAAGCACATGGGTGAAGATCGCAGCCCGATATAGTGAAAAGGAAGCCTAAAAAAACCAAGGAAGATACGGAGGTGCTATCTGCTACAAAGCGTGGCCCTATGAGTAGCGTGCCTTGTTTCGAAATGCAGTCGTTTGCAAGAGCTTCGCGATCGTTCGCTATATCGGAGGACAGAACTGAGAACGACGACACAAAAAGTGGCACATTAGTGTGTGTTGGGACATTTAAATAGTGATGAAGCTTCTCGTTACTGGGCCTTGTCGAACAACTAAGACACAGCTCAGTAGAGCGCCTCCAAACAGAATGTTATGTAGGTGGGGAGACGCCCAAGCTCACCCAGTTGCGACCAGTCGCTCCTCATCCTCTCCCAGACGTTCACGCAGTGTGGTATGACAAGAGTAGATGGCCTGAGTGCCCCCGGAAAGACGAATGCCACCGCAGATCTGCACTGATTTTCAAGGACCGATTGCAATGTATCTTCGCCTTGCATCTCTACAGCTTCAAACCTTGCATTCTCGATGACCCGCAAAACAAGTTCGCTGCCGGTGCCGTATAGGTTCTTGTGGGTTAGTGGCCTGCAACCTTCCAAGGCTGTGTAGCTTCGAATTAGCTGAAGTATTTCGTAAGCTGCAGAGCAAACCTCATATATGTATGTAGGTAATGCTAGAAGTGTACGCCTGGCATTTCTGCTCTAAGTGCACCGGCCGTGCAGTACAAATAAACTCACCTTTCACTGCGGAGTCCGAAGTGTAAATGCTGCTCATCTCTGCTGGATCTTGTTTATACCGTTCTTTTCCAGGCTTCTGAATTGGGCTCGCCTTGATGGCAGGCAGTTGCCTCACGGCCTCTACAAACCACAAAACTAAAGCAGTCAAAAAAACACAGAAAGCAATCGAGCAGGTAAGGGAATATAGCTGAGCATAATATGTTGTGCGATGATGAACTCACAATGAAAAGTTTCCGAGGATTTCATTGCGGTCAGCAGATAACGAGGGTCTCCAGTCCGTAGAGTTTGTTGGAAGGCTTCCCCAACTCCAGCCAACTCAAATATCTCCTCCATATCTGCCAAAAGATTAGGATCCTCTTCACTCACGTTCCGGAGCTCGTTTCTCAATATCTTATCAGCTATATTTCTGTATTCTAGGAGACACGCATGTGGGCAGCATAGAAAGTGGCCACCAGTTCCAGGATAAATGATGCTCCCAGGCACCTAGTGGCAAAAACCAAGACCTACTTTCTTTTATTGTGAGAACCAGACGGTCACAGGGGAGGTTCATCTTCTCCCCTTCCTTTTCCACGACGCATTCTTCTCCTTGTACGCCCACGACCGTGTACTCGCCAAGTTGGGCAATGGTGGAACCAGAAACCAGCACTTTGACGGCATCACCCACTTCTAAAGGTGGAGGCACTCCTATAAAAAAAGAAGCGCATGCCGGAAGCATGTCAACTGTAAATCCCTTTTCGCAGCAGAAGATTACCGGGTTCCGTCCCACGACGTACCTGACCAGAAGCGCTTCGAGCTGTTGGGAACCTCAGCTGAAAACAGAGACACGTTTCGTAACTATGGACCATCAGCATCGCCAGAAATAGTCTTTAGGCAACTAATGAGAATGGCTGGTCATGAAAGCTTACGGTTCTGGAGAAGGATTCGTGCAACTTTGTCCCACATCCACATTGCACCGAATTGGAGATCTACCGAAGACTTGACAATTGAAAACTCTGCGGGATTGAGGAAGAATGCTGATGCAGACTGAACAATACCCCTTAGACAGCTTTGCTTCTCCAGGTGTTCTTCTTGTTTGATGCCATCAAGGAGAGCAACCATCTGCCTCCTGTTGACGTCGAAGTCTGAGCATCAAAACAGGCCACAGATGCAGCAATGCGCTGCTGTTCAGCAAAAGAAGAAGAATCTGTGAACTCTAGCTTCCGCGTTGATTCCTACCTCTTTGAAATTCCTGGAGAACGTCTTCGCATTCTGACAGCACAGCATATTGCGAACGAAGCAAGAAGTCTGTACTCCTCCGGCTGGGAATTCTTTTGCAGTGCATCACTGCCAACTTTGTCAGCGCATATGAATACATATATGTATACAGATGCTACAATGTCATCGGCGACATCAGGTCATTGGAGGGCCTACTTACTTGCAATTCGTGCTTGCAGCTGAGGATTATCCACAGTGGCTGCACTGTAGGAGGGAGATGAGTCGGTAGGCCGGTCAAATGGCCTAGCTTCAAGTGACGCATCATCTTCACTGGAACTAATACTCACTAAAGATACTTCCCCAATTCTTTGTGAAGGGAGTTCTGGTCTCCCCTGTGTAAATGGGATGTACTGGTCAGAGATCAAGCTGCTGCGGCCCAGACCACAGTTCCCAGCGAGCACCAAAAGAACACAGAGACAAATGTGAAAGTGGCTGCTGTCCAGCAGAAATAGGTTTAAAGATATTCGTGGCATTCTTTTTCTTCGCAGCGGCAACACCGGCACTTGTTCTAGAGTCGGCTTCCGCGTGGGAGGAGGTGGGTTGGTCCACGGACGAACGGTTTCGTACAACGTTCCTCATACGTTTTGTCTACATCATTAATGAGTTCTGTACGAATTGGCAGCACTTTTTGTGGTTCAGCAATCCAATTAGAAATGCGTGTGTTGCTCAGTCGCAGAGTTCGTCTCGTTGCCCGACAACTCTTTGATTCCGGGCTGGATCAAGGATCGGCCTGGCGGCTTGTACGCAAGCGATGTGTGCATCAACGGATCAAAATTTCTAAAGTTATGCTATTGAAGTTATTTAGTACTGTCATTCCATGGTAGTTTATGTCATATCTACACTTTTTCGGTGTTTGCTGCCCGAGCTGAGGCTGCAGCATCGTGCCCTGCAGCCGGCAACGAAGCGATCAAGGTTTCGAACACCGGACCCATTTTCCTACTTACTCGTGGTTCCGAGATTCGTATTGATTGTCTCACTTCTACGAGATTTCCTCATTTTCATGTTCATAACACGTATTGGGGTTTGAAGCTGCTAGATTCTGCCCAAGTGCTGGTGAGCCTACAACACAAGGAAAAGGAACCAGGCAACTCAGCCGCTCAGGTAGCTATGCTGCTATATATTTTCCCATATCTTGGTCAACAAATGGTGCTAAAAGCTAAGGGTCGTATTACGTACCAAGATTTTCGTCTATTGAGCTGTTTTTGTTGGGATTCCCAGAAGCAGCGGTTTTGAATCCGAGGTCTTTGTTTAGGAGCCCAGGAGCCTCCCGGCACCAAATTAGTTGCATGAAATGCAGAGCACGATCTCCCTTTGGTGCGCACATGACTATGGGCTGCATTGGTTCATTGTTGGTTATGACCTGCGGTTGCCGACACCTTCGACGCTGCTGGCGAAACCAAACTTAGTCTGTTTTTGTCAATAGGATGGCAAACTATTTAGCAGGTGGTACAAAGATATAGGAACATGCGCGCCTAACTACCTCATCGAGAATGGCCATTATTACTTTTTCGGTGTTGTAGCGTGACCTACTGCTGCCAGTGTCCTCGAGATTGTATTCAGAACTGCAAATGGAATATTTAATTAGTAGCATGCAAGCAATGTAGCTGATTGCAGGAGCATGCAATAAAGCTTCGGCTGTGGAGCACCGGAAAACCGCCACCCACCAAACTGTGCAATTTCAGGCTCAACTAGAGGTCAAGAATCATGCCATTGACGCCCCTTCGTCGTCCCAATCTTCTTCCTATATCTCTCATGGCTTGCTTTTTTCCACACGCTTTCCGGGAGGAGCGTATGCTGAAAGTTTCATGCCCGGTGCCTGCAGGTGTGGGATGTTGCGTCGATGCACAGTGAGTAGGCGGACATTTCTTTTTTGAAAGGTCAAAGTGCAAGTAGACAGATGTTGCCAGGATGCTCAGGCATAAGTATCTATTGAAAGCATGACTTTTGCTTCGCTTTCGTCCGTATATCTACTCACACTGCGGCCCATGTGAATTTTTTTTGCGTTGGGAGCACCTGCTTTGCTGTTTTTACTCTTGCACGTCCCTCCGCGCGCCGCTCCCCTACGCTTTGCACAGCAGAATACAGATGACGCTGCATGACACAGAATAGAAGGGCGGCATAAAGAATTCAAGTCATCTGCACCCGCTTCGGTATTCTGTTGAAGATAGGTGTGCTGCGCGTGGAGAAAGAGTCCTCGAGAGTATACGAAGACCGTCGTGTAGTAGAATAAGAGACCTAAGATGAGCAGCTGGCCTTACTTCCAGCTTCCAAGTGTCTTAGCCAAGGCGACAAAAGGGACGGATGCTGGTGCGGAGAGGCGGCGGTCTATGATGGGGTGCAGCAAGGAATGTTGCAACACCAAGGCAACCCCACAAGCAAGCACACCTAAGCTATTTGATGCACACACAAACCCCATCTACAATTGTAAAAAGCTTCCTTCGCCCTCAGGAGCCAGCCTGCGTTCCAGTATAAGTCCATGTACCAATTGTAGACAGGCAGTGCAACAAGGGCTAAGACATGGGTTTAGTCTCCGTTACGAAGAAGACGCATAGAATCGAAGTCGCAGTCGTAAAAATATAGCTTTAATGGGGCGGCTGCAGTCAGCCTTATTTCCGATACAGTTCTGAAGGTATAGGACTAACTGACCACGCACCCGTATACACACTTTCAGGTGAACACCTGCCCATCTCGCGTGCTGCAGGTAACTGCAAAGGCGGGAGTGGTTTCATGAGAAACTGTATTAAATCTGCATGTAGTCAAGGTATGTCTTACGTTCCTCCTGAGCCAAGAGCAAGCTCACTTTCTTGTACTCAAACGCCAAAACCATAGGGGGGTGAGATGAACGGTGAAGTACTGATGGAATTCGGACTTAGCTATTTTTCCCGCGGCAGCTTTCGATTCCTTTCGATACATAGGTCCGAGTTCTATTTGTTCAGATGCTACCGTTTTAGTTTATGGGTGGGATATGGGTAGCCATAACCTGAAATGAAGGTTTAAATCTTTCAAAACGTGGGTTTTCAGCGTCAAATTGGACCTTAAAAAACACGGAGAAATAACTAACATGAAGAGAAAACCTCCGTGAGAGTTCCAAGTATCTAAATCGCAACTGGGTTTATCAGGGATTACCCTAAGTTATTGGGAATGTAAGATTAAATCTTCATATATCACCCAATGACTGATTCTGCAAAATACTTTCTACTAATAGTAGTACACTTGTACCTCATCTAGGCGCAGGAATTGCAATATCTAGTGATTCTATTGGTCCTTTCAACTTATTTGCCCGTTTATCCACCGACTTTGTGAAGCATTTTCACCGATAGCTTGTATAGCTTTTCATGCAGATCCCTTCACAATGGAAACAGAATCACCACAGTTATTTCACTAGTCAATATTCATACAATTAAAACGAGCTTACATAATTTCAAATTCCCAAAAAGGACACCTCCGCTTTAGAAATATATTGCCATTCAAATATTCACCTTCCCATTTTCGGCTTTTTTTCCTTTGACATATATTGGGAGCTGCTCAATCTCTTCAAAGTAAATATGTGCATTCAGTTATCCCAAAATAATTTTTCAATTCAACTCAAATGTTTTAACTAAACTACGGAAGTGGCGAAACAGGAATACGCGATGGATTTAGGTTTCTATAGGTTTCTACGAGAAAGTTCAGATATATTCCCTAGTAGTAAACAGTACTATACAAGTTTCCAACGTCTGCAGAACAACTGTGCATTAGAATTGTGCAGCCTAGGCCAATGCGGCCGCACAGCGCAGTTGTGGAACGACTCATTCGCTTTAAGTACTCCCTCAACCCCCTTCGCTGCATCTCCCCCCCACGGGAACAAATAAGCTCAAAGCTCCAATGCGTCTCTCTACTGGCTCTGCAAGCAGGCCCTAAATGCACACTAACACTGTAGAGAATTGCAAAATCACGTACTTGGCCCTGGGCGAACAGCCTGCACGATAGTAAAATTGCGTCCTCGAGTTTCAGACAGACAGTGCTACACCAGGCTCTTAGGGAGGGGTGGAAACAACGCATGGGTGCTGATAGGGGCGTTTAGTTGCCTTTGGGGGGGCACTTAACCTTGACTCTTCTGATTCGGCTGCAGCTCACTACGGTCCTTGGCGAAGAGCGACGGCTCGTTACTTAGGTACGCAACAACCAAGGGCGCAAACAGCCAGTTGAAATAATTTGTTTAATGATGACGGGAAAGTGTGAGCGCCTTGTTTTCACTGCAGCCCACTATGCATACAACCAATCGTGCATGCGGACGCACCAACGTACACGGCCGGTCATCTTTCCGTCGCTCTAGCGGCAGGTGGCTCCACAGAAGGTGTCTCCTCACTCATCGCTTCGTGTTTCGAACATATTCCCGAATGCAAGTAACGCGTGCATGAGCCTTTACATATGCAAGAGAAGACATGCAGTGGAGTCGTGCACGCCACGCCACTGCATGATTGTGCATTCGTACCTGGGGTGGTGAGAGGACTAACCATATCTACATTGAAATCATAGGAACGACGTGTTGGATCTTATACCCAGCGCGATAATACTCCCATTTAAGTTCCGAAATGCGAGTGCTCTCGCCCTTTTTCGCTGCCTCGGTGGCACTTCTGGCAGCCGGAATTGACGGAGCTGAAGTACCGGCCGATCCTTTTCCCAACTCTGAACGCACTTTTCAACACATAGAAGCCTTTATGCCGGGTGAGGGTTCCTCTTCACCGAGGCAGAAGGGGGAACGTTGGAAATTTTCCGTGGGTGTTGCCGTCTTTGCCGCCACAGTTGCTACGGTGTTTTTCTTCCTTCAGTGCTTCAGGGCCTTACAATCCAACAAGAACCCAAGCAGCCTTGGAACGAATAGGCGGAACCTTGCGGAAGGAGGTCCAGATCCATGCGGCGTAGGTCTTGGCCAACACAAGCTGAGCTGTGAAGTGGTAGTGGCTGAAAGGCTTGACGCACGGGAGGTAGTGCATGCCTGCCCGTTTGCGTGCAACGGAAATGTTTGAAGTGAAAGGAGGAGTTTTACTGCGTCTTGAGGAGCGGTTACAAGGAAATTCCCCCACTTGCGAGCCCGCGTCAGAGGAGGGGGCTTAGATCTCAATGCAACGGGAGAAAATTTCGGTAGCGGGGAAGTGTTGTCATCATCATCCAAGTTGATCAATGAGTTGCATTGGTGGAAGCAAGCATAGTATCGTACGTTTGCGGATGCAGTATGATACCGCAGATGAGACCATGATCAATTCATTAACCTACGCGCTGTCG